TGCAGATTTCATTTTCCAACAGGACTTGGCACCTGCACACAGTGCCAAAGCTACCAGTACCTGGTTGAAGGACCATGGTATCCCTGTTCTTAATTGGCCAGCAAACTCTCCTGACCTTAACCCCATAGAAAATCTATGGGGTATTGTGAAGAAGAAGATGCAATACACCAGACCCAACAATTCAGAAGAGCTAAAAGCCACTATTAGAGCAACCTGGGCTATCATAACACCTGAGCAGTGCCACAGACTGATCGACTCCATGCCACGCCGCATTGCTGCAGTAATACAGGCCAAAGGAGGCCCAACTAAATACTGAGTGCTGTACATGCTCATACTTTTCATGTTCATACTTTTCAGTTGGCCAACATTTCTATAAATCCTTTGTTTTTATTGGTCTTCAGTAATATTCTAATTTTCTGATATGATGAATTTGAGATTTTCATTTGTTGTCATTTGTAATCATCAAAATTAAACAAAATAAACATCTGAAATATATGAGTTTGTATGTAATGTATGAATATAATATACAAGTTTCACTTTTTAAATGGAATTACTGAAATCAATCTACTTTTTCATGATATTCTAATTTTATGACCAGCACCTGTATGTAGAATTACATTCTAACCTTTGCACCATGTACACACGCTCACATTAAAGGAATAGTACACCCAAAACATGATTAGCCTTCATTTTCTACTCACCCCCATGCTGAACAACACTCTCGAGTACTTTTTTGATATCTCAAATGTTTCTGGAGATCTGGGAGGCTTCTTGCTGTCTGCTGACATTCAAATAATGGAGGTCTATGGCGCCCGAGGCAGAAAGGTCCATAAAAGTCCACAAAAAACGTTTCAATATTCCTCCATACTGCTCGTCCAATGTATTCCAAGTTTCCTGAGTGGGTAGCATCCAGAATTTACTCGAAACGAAGTCATTTAGAATGTTTTTAGAGCATAAACAGTAGTGTATATGATTTCCTGAAAGCGCGATCCCGGCGCTACGGAAGCCGGCAGACCAAACCAGCGCATTCAGCTCGGCAAAGAACTCATGCTCTTCCTCAACACTGAAGTCCTCAGACATTTTTCTTTCGTTGTTTCTTTCTTTGCACAGGTAAACGGCACATTTCTTCTTCTGCGCTTGCATTATTGGAAGAGCAGACGCTGAATGCGCACTTTCATCTGGTTTGGTCTGCCGGCTTCCGTAGACTCGTGAACGCGCTTTCAGGAAATCCTATACACTACTGTTTATGCTCTAAAAAACCTTCTAAATGACTTTGTTTCGAGTAAATTCTGGATGCTACCCACTCAGGACACTTGGAATACATTGGACGACCAGTATGGAAGAATATTGACACGTTTTTTGTGGACTTTTATGGACCTTTCTTTCTCGGGCGCCATAGACCTCCATTATTTGAATGTCAGCAGACAGCAAGAAGCCTCCCAGATCTCCAGATGCATTTGAGATATCAAAAAAGTACTCCAGAGTGTTGTTCAGCATGGGGGTGAGTAGAAAATGAAGGCTAATCATGTTTTGGGTGTACTATTCCTTTAAGCAACACTTATAGAATAGAACAGCAACAAACATGTTAGATATTTTAAAATGTGCATTTTAGAATATATATATTTTAAATATATTTTAAAATTTTATATTTTTCTATTGCAAAATGTTCATTTGTACTGCTATCATTTTATTGATATTAATAATAGTTTGTAGAGGTCAAAGGTCAGTGAACATCTGTTTATGCTGAAACTGTGAATTTCATATAAATCATAAGTTGCTAACCTGAGAATATGAATAATTAAATTTTAACCTTGAAAAAAAATTATAATGGCAAAAAACGAAAATCTTTGGTCCTCAAACGTAGCGCAGATGATTGACACCAAATGACCTCTGATGACCCCTGGAGAACATTTTTCTTTATATCTTTAGAATGAAAGGAGCACAAATGAACATTTTTGCTGCACAAACAGAGTCGAGGTGATTGACACAGATTTCATGTCAGAAGGTGGGTGGGGGGGAGCTGGTTGACCTTTGATGACCTCTAGAATAATGTCTTTAAATCTTTAAATGATAGCGGCCCAAACTAAAATGTTTGCTCCACATGCAGCACGAACAGACGAGGTGATTGACACCAATTCTGTCTGATTGGAAGAAGGTGGGGGGGCGGGGCCAACTTTAGTCAGGTTCATCACCGGACGTTAAATAAATTTAAACTTCCTCAGTTTCTCCAGAGCTTCACGAGGATTAACCTTCCATAAAACTCTTCCGCTGTATTTAGATCAAATTAACAGAAATCTTTGAATAATTTATTGATTTCTTTCTGACTGCTAATTACCCTCCCAGTCCGTTCTTTATTGCACTAATTAGTGCTACCTGTTTGGTCTTTAATTGGCTGGCTAATAATTTATTAGCTTTATCGCCTGATTCATATCATCTCTGTTTGATTCTGAAAATAGAGTACTCTACCTTTTTTTTTTAGAATATTGTATTTAGCTCATATGAAGTTCTGACTCATTTATAAAAGATTAACGGGTTAAAGTTTTCCCAGTATTCCCTTTCCAATTTCATTACTTTATTTTCTTATAGGTTTATCTTTTAGGAATCTTGTTTTTTGATCTGGGAGGATTCCCCTAATGTCTGCTTTGAATCCTTCCCAAATCAAGTTTTGGTCTCCAGTATTATTATCATTTATAAAGTTATTCAGTAATTAGTTATTTTTGTTGTATTTATTTGTATTTGAGTTCTTAAGTATTTCTTGTTTGCCCTCTGGGTCAGTCTCCTTTTCCCTAACTCCAGGGGCAGATTTAGGAAATGTGGGGCCCTGGGCAAAGACAGGCAGGGGCCCTCTGAATGGAGAAGACAACACATAAACAGCCCCATTCTCCAGATAGAGAAATGTTAATAGAATAGACATCCATTATCTGTTCTAGGTTGTGTCCCTCTCTTCTTGTCCCTTTTCTTCTTGTTTTCCTCTCTATGTTTTGTACTCAGCTGACTTTTCATGCTGTCTCTAAAGGAATGAAAGATTTTTTCCAAGCACTAAGCTCACTTAGCTGATTGCTCCTTCCTGTGTTTCCAAAAAGGCCAAAGTAAATAACCCAGTCCTTCTTTTCACTGTAGACAAGCCACGATCTGCTTATCTGTTCTCCATTTTTCATTTGGATGAAATAATAGCTGCATGAATCATGACAGCAGACAAGATAGAGGAGAGCAGGAGGCGGGGTTACCAATCTACTGGCTCTGGAGAGCAGAGTTCGCTGCTTTTAGATGTTGTCTCCAAAGTCTCCAGTAGCAGAAAAAAAGTCTCTAGATTTGGCGCTAGGAGCTTTTTAGAAATCAAAGTGCTAGAGGGGTCTGAAAAGTGGCTAAATATAGCGACTAAAGCGCTAAGTTGGCAACACTGCTCTTTGCATGGTTTGTTTTCAAATGGTTTGCTGCTGTCTGTTTGGACCTTTCTGAACATGTGCAGCAAATGGACTGATCCAATATGAAGGGGGGGGGGGGGGGCTGAGACACACTTAAAGTAATAGGGAAATTAGATTTAAATGACAAATCATTCTGGCTTAAACATGTATATAAATGTACTTTTTATCAGACCATATTGTCCCAAAAGTTAGAAAATCTCTATTTTAAACAAATCCTGTCTTAAAATCTGTTTCTTTTTTCCCGTTATCTTCTGCAGGCCAGTTAGTTCTACGTCAGCCTGAACACCTAAATTCGCCCAATCATATATCAACGGCCATCTGTCAATCAAATGTTTTCGGTCATAGCATCTTGATTCATGTGTCGCAGCTAATATACGCAACGGTTGAAACCAGAATCCTTTCCTTTCCCATTGAGTTGCGTCCCAGTGTTCACGGGGATGGACGTCTGTGTCTTCAGCAGGCGTAGAGCTAACAGAACTGGCAGCGTTGCGAGGCAAGGGCTCAAACATGTACGGCTGGAAGCCTTCTACACCAAACCAAGCTTCTGCCGCCCTGGCGTCCTCTTCCACAACATCTTCGTCCCCGCTTTCCTCCTCTAAATAAAAAATGGATGACGGAGGAGACTCATCCACGACCTCCGACACTAAACTCTCCTCCTCTTGCATGTTTCCTCTGTCCATAGCGTTCCTTGACAGCGTCGTTTCTAAGTCACCAATTTAGTGCTACTTGGTCCCAATGGAATTTCCCATTGGGAACCTGCTAGCACTAAGCTGCCAGTAAACATACTTTAATATTTTAAGCGTCCTGATGGCATTTGAACAAAATTATTTTTATATCATAAAAAATAGCATAAGTAATGTGCACAAATTAGGAATAGTTGTATTAACCATATATATAAAAGGAACTTGGGGCCGCCTAGCTCCCTTCTAGACTCCTCTGTCCGCACCTGCTCCCAGTCTACTGATTAGGCTGGTCTTTGTTCAGTCTCCCATTTATACACCTCCTGTTCAGTCACTGTTTGCTGGATCCTCGTCGTTTCCCGGCTCTGGCTGTTTTCCTGGATGTCTCCTAGATTTGGCTTTTCTATATTTGTTCATTTGGATTTTTGCTTCAGTTTCCGCTTTTGGACATTAAACCTACAAGAACTCATCTCTGACTCCTTCGTTTCTGCATTTGGGTTCTTAAAAAATCCTCCACCCAAACCGCGACACTTTTAACCCAGAGGAAAGAATGCTGAGCTGACATAAACCCATTCACCCAGACCAAAGAGTTCAGCTGGGATCCAAAAGAAAGAAAGAAAAAAGTCTCTACATAGTTCAGATTACAGGATTACTGCAAATATGATTTCGATTTTAGCTCATAAATCAGCCTGAAGGAGGACAAAAGAGGCACAAAAAGGATTTTAATGTTCAGCCAGGTTGTTGCTCTCTTATGAAAGGCTATTGCACAATCCTTTAAAAAGGATCATTTGTGTGGATTTCCCACCAGGGTTCCTGAAAACCACTAAAGTCACTTTATTGTTTTTCACACTTGAAGTCCCAGATTTACAGCACAGCTTTGGTCAGATCTACTTACCGACGCCTCCTTTCTCTGCCTCAACAAATCAAAAGCTGCATGGCTGCGTGACGGGATCTCTGCTGTGGAAGAACTCTGCGCTCCCAGAACCCCGCAGATCTGACAGCGTGCGGTGCGTGGACGCAGGACCGGCCAATCCACGCAGATCCCTCAGAAGGAAGTGGGGAAAACAGGATGTGAAGTCATCACGGGGGACACCCTGCTTTTTTTTTTTTTTTTTTTTTAGGGCTGAGTTTCTGTAAGTTTACACAAACCGTTGCGCAGCAGGTATTCAACCTACAGAGTATGGCAAGCCGTGCTGTGATTTAATTCACACTCTCATATATTTGGCCCTTTTCACTTTAAATGATGCCCTGGATCAGTGGTAACCAGTTAAAAATTAAAGCATCAACCAGTAAAGCTCCAGAGACATTTTTAATTATAATCTGTTACTTTAAACAGAATTTAACACTGAAATAAAATGAGGTGTTATACATTGACTTTTTAAATAAAAAATATTTTAAGAAAATAGAAAGTTTTTCCAATTTAAAATCTAAATTGTTTTTTGAAGAAGAGAACAATAGTTCAGTTTGGTTTATAGACAATTTCCTGATTCCCATATTTTCTCAAACACCTGAACTGTTCATTTGTTATATTTCTTTCTTTTTTCTGTCTTAATGAGAGCAGTGGGCTTTAGGCTTAACCTGACTCCGCCAGATGGATTTGCTCCACATATCCATCTGGAAACCTTCTGTTGAAGTAATTTTGGGAAGGGGGGAAAATACTGGTTAGCTGATTGGCCTATGTTGGTGATATGACGTACTAACAGAGCGACGACGAAGAGGATCCAATTAATAGATCAAACTCTTGCCGAAACCAGTCGGGAGAAGAGCAAAAACATCTTTTCCTCTGAGAAAAGCCTCCAGAGCAGTGTTTTGCTCTTCTTTCAGTGAAGAAATACTCTGTAACTCCGATAAAACTTGCTCGATAGCCACGCTAACGCTAGTTTCATCGGCTGAAGCCGCCATGTTCTTTAGACTGAACTGTCGCGCTTCTCGTTGCGTCACACCTCAACCCGCCTCAAAGCCAACGCTGACTGGACGTTCGTTTGGTGAACGGCTCCAAATTTTCTTCAACGGAGAGTCTCCAGACTGATCTGCGAGTGAAACCTTGAAAGCTCGCGAGATCAGGATGGTCTCACCAGGCTACTTTAGGCTGCTCTGCAAGGCTTTAAAGTCGTAGGGAAATAATATTTAAATGTCAAATCATTCTGGCATAAACATGTATATAAATTTATTCTTTATCAGACAATATTGTCCCAAAATTTAGAAAATCTCTATTTTAAAAGAAAATCCTGTCTTAAAAATGTGTTTTTCCGTTATCTTCTGCAGGCCAGTTAGTTCTCCGTCAGCCTGAACACCTCAGTTGAACTTCTGCCTAAGTTCCATTTTAATGCCTCTTGAAGGACTGTTTTATATTCATTTATTTTTTAAATCTAATTTTGTGTTTTTTATCCTATTTTATATGTTTTTGAGGTGAATATCCTGTGGGATACTTTATTAATAATCATGGATTAATCTATCTAGGCTGAACAACTTCAATGTCTCTATTAAGCTAAATTCCACCGCCAGCTTTACAGCAATGGATTTTAACATTAAGTGCTCATTTCTTTTCTAAAAGGCCACAGAGAACTCACCTGGAGCTGGTTGACAGTTGCGTTTTGTATCTATGCTTCTTTTTCTATGTCTGCTTCTGTCTCCTTGAACCCCAGTGGGCCTCAGCAGATGGCCGCTCACACTGAGCCTGGTTCTGCTGGAGGTTTCTTCCTGTTCAAAGGGAGTTTTTCCTCTCCACTGTCGCTACAAGCTTGCTTAGTGTGAGGGATTGCTGAAGAGTCAATGAGTCGATGCAATCGGCTGGTTTTCCTTAGATAGAAAACTTTGAATCAATCTGACTGGATGATCTGGTGAACTGGAAAGTTTAATTAAATCCCTGAAACACATTTATTTTGAAATTAAAATCCTGAGACGCACCTTTTGAAGTAATAAATGTTCTGATTTAATGTTACAGTAACATGTTTTTTTTTTTACCCTGTAATAATCTGGAGGCGTAGCCTTAAAGCTAAATATTAACTTCTATACATGGCCGGTGCTCTACTTAGGAGTAAATAAAGAAAAGAGTTTGTTGAACGCGGTAAATGCAGCAGGACGACAGATTAACGCTGCTGAGTTAATTATATAACGACGAATTAGATATTTTAACATAAAACTGATCAAAATGCCTTTTTTAAAACGTTAATGATTGGAGTAAATATGCCTCATTATGGAGGGAATTTAGTTCCATTGTTTGAAAGCAAGGAGAACATTTTGTAAATGTTTGTAAAGGTTTTAAGACCTTTACTGTTTTCACATTTTTTCATACTTTATCTTTTACATTTTTGTTGCAGATTTTATATTTTCAAATAATATTGAATCAATCTGACTGGATGATCAGGTTGAATCGTCTGTGATGACATGATGTTAATTGGAGCTATAGAAATAAACTGAATAGAATGTGAGCAGCACTGCCTCCTAGAGGAGGGTTCAGCAACATGTTGCTACATCCAACAGCAGCTTTCAGGGAACATTCCGGTTGATAACAGAGGCAGCAGAGAGGAGGTTTACTAGACTTTATTAAGGTTTCACAAAAAACTTAAAAAAAAAAATGCATATTTGGATTTAAAGACATTTTTCTCATCAGTACAAAACATAATCTTATAATATAATGAGGACATTTTTGTTGGTAAACCTTCAGGGATGGAAAACTTTACAATCCAAACCAGATCTGTTCAGAAAATGTGACATTTTTCCTAAAGCAGCTTAAAGGTGTTACTGGGAGAAGGTCTTAAATAACGAAGGAACATCATTAGAATCTCCTGAGACAACATTAGCTTCTTAACTTGATGACTTCAGCAGCATGACGACGTCTTTCACCTGAAAGGAGACATGCAGAGAATCAGACCACATTTAACAGCAGGAAATGGTTATTCTGAGACCGAGGGGGTCTGCTGGTGAACATCCTCAGTCATCCAGGTTATAGTCATTACCGAAAAGTTCAAAACAATCCACTGGACTTAGTTTAAAGACGTTTCTCTTCCCATCCAGGAAGCTTTTTCAATTCAACTTACTTACTCTACTTAAGTACACTTTTTAACTATCTATCCTTTACTCCATTACTTATTTTCCTACTTCTGACTTCTACTCATTACATTTTCACACCAGTATCTGTACTTTCTACTCCTTACATTTTTAAAACAAACGTTACTCGTTACTCTTGGCTTTAGTTTATTGCAGAAGTCATGGATTAGCGGACCTGGATCCGGATCCACCTGCTGGCTAATCTGGACCCATCCTGATTGAAGACATTTATAAATTACTGCGTTTTGTCTGACGACAGTCTCTAAACGTCACTTGCGCCGCTTCTCCTGTTACCCTGAAATCCCATATCCCCCCCTCCGCAGCATCCAGACCTCCTGCTCAGAGCAAAGCCTACAGCCTCCGCTGTTCCTCCCGTATCGCTGCCCTCTGACTGATCCTTGGAGCTCGAGAGCATGAGCAATATTATCATTAAATTCATAGAAGCAAAACATGCAGAAATGAACGCTTAATTTAATATGACATATTAAAATAATCCCCATCAGCATCCAGAAGATGTGCGGTTTCTGATGGAGATGAGAAATCTGCTTCCTGGTCTGTTGAAGAACCGATAGTTTGCATCCAATCTTTTAGATAAACGGTTAGTTTTTAAAAAAAATACAAGAATTATGCTCTAATTTGTAGTTAGTTGTAGTTGTTACTATATTTAAATTTGATAAACCAGATCTTCTCGCCGTTCTTTCTCCTGTTTGGTGCAATTGTAATAGATCCTGACCTGGCTGGAGCGGAGCGGAGCCTGAACATTTAGAGGATGTTTGGCTCAACCTGCTGCTGTGAAGCAGGATTCTCCACCATGAACAGAATCAACAATAAATCTGGATCCAGGCTCAAAATGAGCTCCTTGATATGTGCTTGAGAATGGCTTAGTCTCCGGTTAAATCCAGGTTTAAAGCCTTGCAGGGCAGCCTAAAGCCCACTGCCAACATTAAGACAGAAAAAAGAAAGAAAATAACAAACCATCAGTTCAGGGGTTTGAGAAAATATGGGAATCAGGAAATTATCTATAAACCAAACTGAACGATTGTTGTTCTCTACTTCAAAAAACACTTTAGATTTTAAAATGGAAAAAATTTGACCAAAAACAAGGCTTTGTTTTTGGTCCAATCTATAATACACAATGACAATAAAGTCGTAAAATTATGAGAATAAAGTGGTAAAATTATGGGAACAAAGTCGTAAAATTATGGGAACAAAGTCGTAAAATTATGAGAATAAAGTCATAAAATTATGAGAATAAAGTCATTAAATTATGGGAATAGTCATAAAATTATGAGAATAAAGTCATAAAATTATGGGAATAGTCAAAATTATGAGAATAAAGTCGTAAAATTATGGGAATAAAGTCATAAAATTATGAGAATAAAGTCATAAAATTATGAGAATAAAGTCATAAAATTATGGGAATAGTCATAAAAGTATGAGAATAAAGTCATAAAATTATGTGAATAAAGTCATAAAATTATGGGAATAAAGTCGTAAAATTATGGGAATAAAGTCATAAAATTATGGGAATAGTCATAAAATTATGAGAATAAAGTCGTAAAATTATGAGAATAAAGTCATAAAGTTATGGGAACAAAGTCGTAAAATTATGGTAATAAAGTCGTAAAATTATGAGAATAAAGTCGTAAAATTATGAGAATAAAGTCATAAAATTATGAGAATAAAGTCATTAAATTATGGGAATAGTCATAAAATTATGAGAATAAAGTCATAAAATTATGAGAATAAAGTCATAAAATTATGAGAATAAAGTCATAAAATTATGAGAATAAAGTCATTAAATTATGGGAATAGTCATAAAATTATGAGAATAAAGTCATAAAATTATGAGAATAAAGTCATAAAATTATGAGAATAAAGTCATTAAATTATGGGAATAGTCATAAAATTATGAGAATAAAGTCATAAAATTATGAGAATAAAGTCATAAAATTATGAGAATAAAGTCATAAAATTATGAGAATAAAGTCATTAAATTATGGGAATAGTCATAAAATTATGAGAATAAAGTCATAAAATTATGGGAATAGTCATAAAATTATGAGAATAAAGTCATAAAATTATGAGAACAAAGTCATAAAATTATGAGAATAAAGTCATAAAATTATGAGAATAAAGTCATAAAATTATGAGAATAAAGTCGTAAAATTATGAGAATAAAGTCGTAAAATTATGAGAATAGTCATAAAATTATGAGAATAAAGTCATAAAATTATGGGAATAGTCATAAAATTATGAGAATAAAGTCATAAAATTATGAGAATAAAGTCGTAAAATTATGGGAATAGTCATAAAATTATGAGAATAAAGTCATAAAATTATGAGAATAAAGTCATAAAATTATGGGAATAAAGTCGTAAAATTATGGGAATAAAGTCGTAATATTATGGGAATAAAGACATAAAATTATGAGAATAAAGTCGTAAAATTATGAGAATAAAGTCGTAAAATTATGAGAATAAAGTCATAAAATTATGGGAATAAAGTCGTAAAATTATGAGAATAAAGTCGTAAAATTATGAGAATAAAGTCATAAAATTATGGGAATAAAGTCGTAATATTATGGGAATAAAGTCGTAAAATTATGAGAATAAAGTCGTAAAATTATGAGAATAGTCATAAAATTATGAGAATAAAGTCATAAAATTATGGGAATAGTCATAAAATTATGAGAATAAAGTCATAAAATTATGAGAATAAAGTCGTAAAATTATGGGAATAGTCATAAAATTATGAGAATAAAGTCATAAAATTATGAGAATAAAGTCATAAAATTATGGGAATAAAGTCGTAAAATTATGGGAATAAAGTCGTAATATTATGGGAATAAAGACATAAAATTATGAGAATAAAGTCGTAAAATTATGAGAATAAAGTCGTAAAATTATGAGAATAAAGTCATAAAATTATGGGAATAAAGTCGTAATATTATGGGAATAAAGTCATAAAATTATGAGAATAAAGTCATAAAATTATGAGAATAAAGTCATAAAATTATGAGAACAAAGTCATAAAATTATGAGAATAAAGTCATAAAATTATGAGAATAAAGTCATTAAATTATGGGAATAGTCATAAAATTATGAGAATAAAGTCATAAAATTATGGGAATAGTCATAAAATTATGAGAATAAAGTCATAAAATTATGAGAATAAAGTCGTAAAATTATGGGAATAAAGTCGTAAAATTATGAGAATAAAGTCGTAAAATTATGAGAATAGTCACAAAATTATGAGAATAAAGTCATAAAATTATGAGAATAGTCATAAAATTATGAGAATAAAGTCATAAAATTATGAGAACAAAGTCATAAAATTATGAGAATAAAGTCATAAAATTATGAGAATAAAGTCATAAAATTATGAGAATAAAGTCGTAAAATTATGAGAATAAAGTCGTAAAATTATGAGAATAGTCATAAAATTATGAGAATAAAGTCATAAAATTATGGGAATAGTCATAAAATTATGAGAATAAAGTCATAAAATTATGAGAATAAAGTCGTAAAATTATGGGAATAGTCATAAAATTATGAGAATAAAGTCATAAAATTATGAGAATAAAGTCATAAAATTATGGGAATAAAGTCGTAAAATTATGGGAATAAAGTCGTAATATTATGGGAATAAAGACATAAAATTATGAGAATAAAGTCGTAAAATTATGAGAATAAAGTCGTAAAATTATGAGAATAAAGTCATAAAATTATGGGAACAAAGTCGTAAAATTATGGGAATAGTCATAAAATTATGAGAATAAAGTTATATTTTATAACAACTCTTCCCAGAAGCCCTTTCTTCCCTAAAATGAGGAATGTGGAGCATCATGGGAAGTTCTACTTTAGCATCGGTTTGACCAATCAGGGAATCTTTTAGCAGCAGCATCAAACTGGGCAGGATGTCAAAGTGGACTCTGGTTGCTGATTGGTGGAGCTGGTTGGCCGTCATCTGGTGGGCGGAGCTCCGAGCTTTCTTTATGAAACAGGTTGGAATATGATGACTTTGTTCTCAGAATATTACAACTTTATTCTCAACAAAATAAAAGCATCACTAGCCTGGCCCTAACCCTGTCGTACTGAAGCTCCCAACAAGAACTGCGGATTATAGTGGGATTATAATCCTGATGAACTGATGAACAGCAGATGTTTGGAGGTGGACTGTCTCACTTAAAAACGAGTTAAAACTATTTTCCCAACTCATAAAGTAAATAAAGCCGAGCTGCTCTCTAGCTTGAAGCTACAGAACAGAGCAGATGAACAACCAGAGCGCCGAGCGTCAAAGCAGCTGGACCTCGGTTTGATCCAGAGTCCACATTTCTGCGTTTACACCCATAACGCCTTCGGTGTGAACACAGCATCCGACACCGTCTGTGTCCTCTCTCGGACTGTAGGGATGGATTTAAAGTTTATTTTTTATAAATAAATCACACCTTTTGAGCGGAAGCCAGAGCGGGTCATCTTTCTAAATGAGACCCCCGGAGCGCATGCAGGAGCAGAGACACTGAACGCTGTTAGCTTCCACATAAGAGCAGCTTCTTTGTTGGCGTACCCTGCTGTTTTCCACCACTAGGCGGCCGAGTCGAACCTTCTTCCTTGGACACCGCATACGTTACAGTGACTTTGCTGCCATCGATCTCGCAGTCCTCCATGTCGTCTTTGGCGGCTCTGCAGCTCCCCTCGCTGTCAAACTCCACAAAACCAAACCTGCAAATATAAATAAAGCATAAGATATAAGAGCCAAACAGATAAAGCCACTGATGAAGCGGAGGGAAAGGCACCTTTTGGAAGCTCCTGTGTTTTTATCCACGGCCACTCTTGCAGCAACGGCTCCGTCAAACGCCGCCTGAAGCGTCTCTGCAGTCGTCTCGTCAGTGAGGCCGGAAACGAACAGAGTTTTCCCTTTGACTGAACAACAACACCATTTTTATTCCCAGCTTTAACACTAGAACTCCCAAAAGTCTAATACCGCTAGAACTCCCACTGGCCGTCAATTTGATGGGTGACATTTTTCCCAATGAATACATGAATACTGATGATGTCATCAACTGAAACGCTTCTAGTGTGGACAAACTGTAAACCCATATGTAGATGTAAACCTTAAAATAGGTCTAATTTATATTTTTTAAACACTGTATGCAAAGGGAGTTTTTCCTCTCCACTGTCGCTACAAGCATGCTTAGTGTGAGGGATTGCTGAAGAGTCAATGAGTCGATGCAATCAGCTGGTTTTCCTTAGATAGAAAACTTTGAATCAATCTAAAAATATAAACAAACCGAATTAAATTGAAATTAAGGTTGTTTTCCATCATTATTTTTGGTCTAAATTTGTCTTAAAACTTCTTAAAGCTACAGTGTGTAACTTTCAGCGACATCTACTAGCGGTCAGACTGCAGACAGCAGCAACATGAACATCCCCCCCACCGCTTCTCCCCCCCAACAGTACGGCGAGCGTTACGGGACAAAATGTCTTCCACGACGTCCGCATCACCTACCTTCTCAAGTGATGAGGTTTGTTTACATAGATAATTTTACAGATAGTACTTCATTAGTCTGAGTAGGGTATAGATTTCATGTAGACTTAAGATAATAAATATACCCGTTATTTTTTCTACATCGTTGTGACGTTTTGGCGATCTCGCAATCGCTAGTTTGTTGGCTCTGCGCTGCCGTAGCGCAAAGATGTCTGCCTCCATGGCTGCGAGACCCGCTCCTATGTAATTATAAATAAGGAATTCTAAGGCAACGCAAATATTAAGGTTAAGAGGCTGAGCTCGTAGATGATGATAAATAACATAGTTATGTATAATATATTACATTTCTGACTGTATATCGCTGAAATTATTACACACTGTAGCTTTAACATCCACCTCATTTTGGGAAATCCTCGCCTATTTTTAATACCCAGATGGAAAAGCAAATAACTTTTGTGATACTTTTGTGAATGACATGTGTGATACATTATTTGAAAGATAAAACCTTCTAGTTTCTGAATATATACATTAAAATTAGGTGAGTCAAACAGTCTAAGCTGCATCAGTTCAAACATGACTCAAAGTTGCTTTTTTATTCTTGAAAATAATAGATCTATTTTGCTTTGTTTACATTCTGACAAGCTGCTATATCTGTGTTAATTGTGCTTTTTCTGCCCACTGTGTCCATAAAATGAACTTGGTGGTTGAATCGTGGAGAATCTAAGCTTTCCAAAGATGTCTAACATCTATATTGGTGAACATTTTACAGGTGTAATTTTCATGCATTCTGAGTTATTATTCGTAAACCCTTTAAAACGGTTCGCAGGCGACCCGGTGGGTTTGGAGAGGAAAACAATAAATCAATTAAATAAGACTATTTTACTACTAGGGGTGTAAATCACACCCATCATGGCGATTTGTTTCAATATCAATTTCCTGACCCATGATTAGAATCCACCACGATACGATTCAATTAATTGGTTAATTTTATTTTATTTTTACCTTCCAGGCTAGAAAATGTTTTAAATTTGGAATAAATCAATAAAAGCTGTAATATCATTACGCATTTTGTTTGAGAAACAACAGTAAATAACAGAAGTAGCAAAGTTATCCTCCATCTAGGCCTATTAAAACCTCACTCACTGAAAAATAATAATACTGTTATAGATTCTGAAAGGCCTTAGATGGAAAAATACACGGAAAGAGGATAGTGGCTAAAGGAAGCGAGGTAGGAGGGCGAAATAGGTTTAGCGCCACCGCAGCACGGGAGGAGAATTACGTCCAGGAGCAAAGATCGGAGGGAAAAAAGAACAGGAATCGATTCGCTTGCAGACACGTTGATGCATCCGATTGTAGGCTGGCGGATCGATGCATCGATACAAAACGCTTTTTATTTACACCCATAGCTACTACACAGGTTTATTTACCGAAACCGATTAAGTCCGAACATTTCCAGCACAAGGTCGTACCAGCAGTTTTTCTTTGCCTCGCTAAAGCTGCTCTACCGCGGGGGAGGAGCTGGTAACCTGCGGAGAGCATGAGGTCACCACGCAACCGTTTCACCAGTTCAAAGATAAAATCTTCGCGTGAGACGTTGATGTTCCAACGACTCATGAACAAAACTGTGTTTATAGCTGCTATGTCTGGAGGATCGTAGAATACAGCAACAGGTCACCTTCACATTGGAGCTAGAATATTTTCTAATCATCTGATCAACGCCGGCCTGTGTGGGATTATAGTAGCCAACTGGCTCCGGTTTGGCTTTTGGGCCACTGAGTGAACCTGCTGAGGTGTGATTGGTTCTATCAAAACGTGAACAAGACGTCTGATTGGTCACTGATCCGATCATCATCGGACTCTCCGTCCCAATCTGAGCCGCTCCTAACCCAGACCTCCTCATCGGTCTCTCCATCTCCGCCTGAATCGCTACCATCATTATGTTGAAGCATTTCTAAAGTTTCATGGTCAGATTTCTTCTGAAAGCCGTTTTTCCGTGTTAGCCAAAGTGTTTACAACGCACCTAAAAGAGCTGTCAAAATGGCGGCTGTGGGAGATGGAGGTAAAATTGAACCATATCGGGCGCGCTGCGGTGGCGCAGTGGTTAGCGCACACGCCCCATGTACGAAAAACAGGAAATACGCATAGTGTAGAGCAGATGTAGATTTGACCAATCAGAGGCCTCCTGTCTGCAGCACCGTCTACGGTCACCTGCAATGTTGGAAAGGTACAGCAGAGTGTTTGCGGGGGCGTATCTGTGCGACACACGCAGATACCTGGTTTCTGACTATAAATCAGCCTTTAGTCTTCGCCGCGGCCGACCCGGGTTCGAATCCGGCCTGTGGTCCTGTGCCGCATGTCTCTCCCCCTCCTCCTTTCCTGTCAGCCTACTTTCCAAAAAAACCCAAATTTTTTTTATTATATCTATTTTTTTTATAAATCTATGTGAAAATAAAGTAAATATAGAAACAGGAAAAGTCAGTTAAAATCTTGAATCTATGATTAATGTAAACCAAAATGAGGGCCCTGGGAGTTCTGGCGTTCAGGCGCTGGCTCTGCCCGTTACATAAACCGACCCGTTACCTTCAGAGCTCTCTGGCTGCAAACTGTTGCGACACATTTCAACTTTGGCTCCTCTTTTGCAGACCTGTCTGTTTTTGGATGCCTGCAGAGCTTTTTTAGCGTCAGCCACTGATGCAAACTCCACAAACGCAAATCTGGAGAGATTAAGCGGTTGGAGGGTCAGTGGGATTTTCCTCTGGAACACCGCAACAGGAAGCAGAAGAGGCGTTTACCGTTTCGGTCTGTCCTTCACATGAGGGATCCTGATGTGGAGAGCGTTCTTAAAAGACGACTTCAGGTGGTTCTCTCTCACGTATTCAGGCAGGTGGTTTACAAACAGGATGTTACTTAAAGGAGCTGCAGCTGCTGGAGAGAAGAAAAAACCTTCAATCAGAGACACTGAAAAGCTATCGAGAAATAAGTGGGGGAAAAAAATCTTAAATTAAGTGTAAAGGAGGCAATTTGCAATGTATAATGTGCAATTTACTATTTGATACCCTGAGCAATAACCTGTTTCTCTATATCTGACACAAAGCCGGGGTTGACGTAAAGGATTTTTAGCACTTGCCTTTGGGCTAGTGCCTTTCACATTTCATTTGCCCAGAAATAATTTTTACTTGCCCAGTATATTGTTTGATAGATATAATTCCTAATAATCATTTTTTGTATACATTTTTTTAATGTTTTTTTGTAATTCAGTATTTTTTAAGTTTCCAGGTTCCTGGTGTGTATCTGCATGCGTCAGATAATGAACTCCAGCCTACATTACCGTGTTAACATGCTTTTCAATCCTTCCTGCTCATTCTTTTCAAACTAAACTTTGCTTTAAACTGTTGTGTGCTTGGAAAAATATAAATTGTAATGTTAAAAATCTAAAAAAAACTTGACAGGTTAAAAACTTAAGATAAATCACAAGACAGAAGTCAATGTCACAAATGAATAACTTTTATTTTAGAGTCACGGTATGTTGATACAAGATAATACTATTAATATGATGTGAGTTTTCTAGAGAATCATTATACATAGTTATTTTATTCAGGGTTTCCACAGTCTGACATCATTTCAGAATTCCCTGACTTTTAACTGACTTAGGATTAGTTTTCCCTGACAAAATAAATGCAGCAACAAGACAATAATAATAACATAACAGGTCACCAATCTAAAATAGGTGGTGGGTGTGTTACTCTACTTACATTTTTTTTTTTTTACTTGTGGTTGTTTTTTAGACTGCTGAGTAAAAAAAAAGAGTCTGATTCACGCCAATTCTGGCAGAAAAATCTTGCAGCTTTTCCAAATCACGCGAGAATGTGTACAAAATAACAAAAAATTGCGCCGGCAACGCTTCTGGGTCGTTTTCATCAAATGTCGGTGATTTTAAAGTAATTTTAAGTAACAAATAAATGTTTTTTGCGATCATTGCATCATTTGCCTGGCGGGCAAATGCAATGAAATTTGTACTCTCCTGACAATAAAAACTACTTGCCCCGAGAGATCGGGCGATGGTTAACATCGAGCCCTGCAAAGGGCAATAACTATATATATATAAATATAAATGTCCATTCATATAAATACCCATGTAAACACCCTGTGCAGTTACCCTGTAAAATGGTCCTGCTATTAAAAAAAAAAGCTGTGATATGTGGACGCACTATATATACTCTATTTATCCCATGTACATTTTTCTCTGTTTTTACTCTTTTGACTATTTGAGCTGATGAAACGAGCACATTTCTCCACTTTGAGATCCATAAGGTCAATCAATTACCCTTCATTAGAGCAGTAAATAAGATGATGGGATTCGTTTTTTACTCTTAAAATAACATATTTACCGTATTCTCCGGACTAGGGATGCAGGATATTTGGATTTTGGCCGATATCCGATATGCCGATATTTTAAAACTCATGTAGCCGATAAGCGATATCGATACCGATGTTAAAGCTGGACAAAAATAAGTAGTCATTGAAAATAGCAGTTTTGTTATCCATTTCTGACACTTTGAAAAATAATATACTCAAATATATTTTCATATGCTGATATCAAATTGATTTTTAAAAACGCGGTATCGATCTATTTTACTTTCAAAATCTCGTGAAATTTCACCGTTCTGTTACAAACTCTCGTGATATTTTGCAAATTCTTGTGAGATTTTGTTAGTAAAATAGATCGATACCGCGTCAATATATCAACATATAAAAATATGGCAACATTTGGTGAATTTTGGGGGGATTTCGTAGCATAACGATGACATATAGCAATATTTCATTAGTAAAAGAGATTGATATGGTGTTTTTAAATGGCAATATATCAGCATATGAAGATATTGGGATATTTTAATGGATCAATATTTTTTCCCTCGTCTTTAGAAGTTTTTAAGTCTGTAAAAAAGAAGTTTTTGAGGAAGAAGAAGAAGTAGTATTTTTTTTTTTTTTAGACTTAAGAAACTCAGAAGCTGATCAAATATCGGGTTAAATATCGGTGGGGTGGCCGATGTCCGATATTCAGTTTTAAGGCCGATACCGATAGGGGGCCGATTATATCGTGCATCACTACTCCGGACTATAAGCTGCTACTTATAAGAAGGCTTATAAGAAGCTGCAGCTTTTCTGTGGATTTTTCCTAAATGGCACGAGGGGGAAGTCAAAGTTGGAAATGAAATGAAAGCATAAGGAGCTAATTTACAGTTAGCACAACATGCTAGCAGCAGGCACGACGGTGAACTAATGTCCTGAATTCACATATTTTGACATTTATTTGCTGCATTAAAGCTGAAGTCTGTAAGTTTTTAAAATCACTTTTTTGTCATATTGGCTAAAACTGTCCCTATGCCCAGACAGCAGTACATGTGATATGTAACCTGTGAAAAAAACTGCTTCAATTGGTCCCGCCTACTGCCTGTATTTCAATCTGGAAAGAATAATTCGGGACGAGTCAAAACAACCAATCACAGCCAGAGGAGCGTCTGATGGAGTGTCAATCACAGCTCACACACACTGAATCCCGCCCCCCCCCCCCCCCCCCCCCCCCCCCCTCACCGCTTAACCTGCCGCTGCCGCCCGGCTGCCGCAGTCAGGAGGAAGCAGCGTGGAAGTCATGGCGGAGCGACAGCCACCAGCGAAAGAGAAACTGCCCTTACTGCCCCTGCCGACAACTGCTTCCACGGCAAACTTATAACCACCATCTTATATCTAGCTGCTTGGAGGTGAGTGTTATCGCTCTTACCGTTATCCCCACCCTCCATGCCGCGTACGCTGCTTGGACGCAGGCTTTGGTGAGAGGGGTGGAGCTTGGAGGTGGGGCATGAGTGAAGCAAGAAGGGTGGGGGAGTGGCGTGAAACCTGTTTTTCTTCAAATTTCAGTCGAAGTCTGCTCTCTTCCTCAATGTTACAGACTGCAGCTTTAAAGCTGTTGAACCAATGAAGCTCCATATTTGAGTAGAAGCTACCCACACCACCTCCCACCCCCACCCTACCCCCTAACCTCCTACTGCTGCGAGCTAACAAGCTAACAGGAGCTAGCATTCTTCTTTGTCCCTACTCCAGGGGCTATATGTAGAGCTCCCCCTACAGGTTTGGTGGGTTCACTAGTATCGGTGACTTATAGGTGTACATTTCCATTTTTTCCCGCAGAAAACTTAGTGGGCGTGGCTTATAGTGAGGTGTGCTCTATAGTCCAGAGTATACGGTAGATATTATGCGCTCAAAATAAAACAATCCAATTGTTTTTTCTTATTTTAAATGTAATTGTCTCTTTCTTTTGGCAAAGTGTCTCACTTTCCTTATCAACTCAAGAAAAAGTTGAATTATTTTAAGAAAAAAAAAGACTATTTCTATTTTTTTCCAGTTTAATAGACCTGGCACGGTTGGCGTCACTCACCCTTGGCTTTTTTACTGTCTGCGTTGGTGACAGCTCGCCGTTGGATTCGGGCCACTATCAAGTCGCGACCTTGAAGTTGAGCTTTTTGCTTTTTCTTAAGCATTTCTTCTGCCACTGCTTTGTTTTTAAACTCTACGAAGGCGATGCTGTGAAAACATCAAAGGTTTAGTTGATAAATCTGTTAAAATGTGAAGCAAATAAAGATGAAGGACCGTAATTTTTTTCCTTTTTCCTCTCACCCCTGACTCGGTCCTTTGGCTCCCCCGGGAAAGCGAACGGCGACAGCTCTGCGGAAAACCTTCCGGATGTCTTCTTCAGTTGCGTTGTACGGCACGTTCTTTAGAAACAAACATCTGTGGTCTTTCACTGTAAAAAAGCAAAAACAAACAGAAAAATGAAAGCTAATGTACACAGGTGGGGCGTAACCCCGATTAGAGATGCTGCTGGTAAAGGTAATCAGCTGATCAAACGTGGGAGAAAAACCCAATTCTGTGACTAAATCAGCAGTTTTCCTTCCATTGACAGCCTGATGGCAAAAAGACAAACCAGTCTAATTCTCCTGCGTAGCGTCCAATCATTGAGAACTGGTTTTCACGATGTTTGGCAGTGATAGCGAGACTGCTTTGTTTATTCCCTTTTTTTATTTTCTGTTCTTCCTTTTCTGCATGACATTCAGCGATGTTTAGATGCAAATGCTATTCTGTTTTTTTTTGCCTTGTTTTTATAACAAAAGTAGTAAAAACAATTTTTGATTTTTTTTTCTTTAATTATGACTTTAAAGTCCATTACAGAAGGACTAAAGGCTCTACCTTTATTATACCTCATCCAAACTACTTTGGTTATCCTGAGCTATCTCTATAGTTCTCTAGGGACCCCTTTTTCATCATTCTATCTCTATTCTCCCACTCTGCAGAATCTGTTAGTTCAATCTCTAACGTAGGGCTGGGCGATAATTCAATAACGATATATATCGATCGATAGACGTGTGGCGCAATAGAAAAAAAGCGGGTCGATAAAAGTTCGATAAAGAAACGCAGTTTTCCTTCCTTCTCATTGTAGCCTAGCATGTAGGTTTATGCTAGTCGCTACGTCCTCCCAACCAATCGCAATCGTGGACCCAGGCACGCCGTCACAAAGCGCCGCCCTCTCAAACCACAACACAGAGCACATGAAGCTGTGCAGCAAGGAGAGGCGGAGGAAATTGTTCCAAAGAAGGGTTTTTGTAGTTTGGCAGTATTTCGGTCATGGCAAGTCGGACCAAAAACAAACCAGTCATCTGTAAAATGTGTCGGGAACCAGTGAAAACCAAGTCTGATAGCAAAACCTATTTTATTTTTTTTTTTATATATATATTTTCAGTTCTGAGCAGTTTCCCACGTAGTTCTAACAATTGAGAGAAATGCTGAGGGGCCAGAAACTTCAAAGTAATAACTCAGATTAAAGGAATAGTACACCCAAAACATGATTAGCCTTCATTTTCTACTCACCCCCATGCTGAACAACACTCTGGAGTACTTTTTTGATATCTCAAATGCATCTGGAGATCTGGGAGGCTTCTTGCTGTCTGCTGACATTCAAATAATGGAGGTCTATGGCGCCCGAGGCAGAAAGGTCCATAAAAGTCCACAAAAAACGTGTCAATATTCCTCCATACTGCTCGTCCAATGTATTCCAAGTGTCCTGAGTGGGTAGCATCCAGAATTTACTCGAAACGAAGTCATTTAGAATGTTTTTAGAGCATAAACAGTAGTGTATAGGATTTCCTGAAAGCGCGTTCACGAGTCTACGGAAACCGCGGCAGACCAAACCAGATGAAAGTGCGCATTCAGCTCGGCAAAGAACTCATGCTCTTCCTCAACACTGAAGTCCTCAGACATTTTTCTTTCGTTGTTTCTTTCTTTGCACAGGTAAACAGCACATTTCTTCTTCTACGCTTGCATTATCGGCAGAGCAGATGCTGAATGCGCACTTTCATCTGGTTTGGTCTGCCGCGGTTTCCGTAGACTCGTGAACGCGCTTTCAGGAAATCCTATACTCTACGGTTTATGCTCTAAAAACATTCTAAATGACTTCGTTTCGAGTAAATTCTGGATGCTACCCACTCAGGACACTTGGAATACATTGGACGAGCAGTATGGAGGAATATTGACACGTTTTTTGTGGACTTTTATGGACCTTTCTGCCTCGGGCGCCATAGACCTCCATTATTTGAATGTCAGCAGACAGCAAGAAGCCTCCCAGATCTCCAGATGCATTTGAGATATCAAAAAAGTACTCCAGAGTGTTGTTCAGCATGGGGGTGAGTAGAAAATGAAGGCTAATCATGTTTTGGGTGTACTATTCCTTAAAAGCAGGAAACTAAGCTGAACCATAACGAGGTGTCAGCAGCACCTCTAGAAGAATAGGGGAGAGAAAAAATACCCCATAGAAATGCTAGGCTAAAGGGTGAGTTGATTTTTTTGGGTTTTTGTTCTTGTTGAGTGGAGTTTACATGGTAGCCTAGTCTCACAATCTTTTAATTACCACAAGCTGGTGGTGTACTATTCCCACCCAAATAGGGTATTCTATTTATTTATTTATTTGTTATATCTATTTTGGTCACTTTTCTGGTCACCTTAGTTTATTCTTTGTCATGATTTAATAACATAACTCATGTCTCATAAGTTATTTTTCTTTAAAACAATTCTGTTATGGTTAAAAAAGTTGGTTAAATAAAGATTTAATTTGAAGTCTGTGTTTGTGTTCTTTATTAAAATTAAATCATTTAGCAATATCATAAAAAGTCCAGGCAGAGCTGCACATAAAATATGGTTTCAAATCTTTTCAATAATTATCGATATCGATCAATATGCATTTTTTTTTATCGATAAGCTTTTTTTCCTATATCGCCCAGCCCTACTCTAACGTTCTGCTCTCTGTGCTTTTCCTCATAGTAGCTTCATCTGGTCTGTTCCTGGAAAAAGGTTCAAACAGAAAGTGGATTCACAGTTTCTGAACTATTTATGTCCAGAAACAGTGTGGTTCTGTGATGCTTTGGGGTTCTCTTCTTTTCTTCTGATATCTCACTACCTTTCTGGTCCATCGGCGGAGCCTGTGCCTTCTTTTGCTCGTTGCTTCTGGCTTTAGCTTTGGCCATCTTCAGCGGCTTATCAAGGATCTCCTCTCCGTTCAAAGTCAAGGCTTTGTTCAGGTCCATGTCTGAGGCCATGCTTACAAACGCGTGTTTCCTATAAAAACAGAAAGTTATTCCTAGAGTAGAACACAAGGCTAACTGTGAACATGGAAGTGAACCCACTTGGAATGTCCCAGCCGGATGTCCTGGAACAGCAGGTTCTGTGTTGAGAAGTACTTCGCCAGAGAACTTTTGATTTCCTCCGATGTTTTGGTGACATTCAGGTTTCCCACAAACAGACAGAACTCTGCAATGGAAAAGGTGGAGCGATGTTTTGAACCAGACGAAGAAGAAGCAGCAGCAGTTTAGTCGGGAATGGGCTCATACCATCGTTGCTGAGTTTGGTTTTCTTTGACGGAGATGAATCCGAGGCAGGAGCAGCTTTCCGTTTCCCGTTAGCTGTAGACATAAGCAACCGTTAGCTGCTTCAGAAACCAGCGGCCAAAACATCACAGCAGGAAATGGAAAAACTGCACAACTTTATAAATACATTTACAATACATTACATCGACAAATCAGCTTTAGGGCTGAAATAATTAATCAGATTAATCGTGATAATAACTAATTTAGTAACTAATTACTCATTAACTGGAGCATACAGACTGTAAAACATAACTTTAGCTGATAGAATGACCCATTTAGAGCAGGAATTTTACCAAAATTATAAAAATATATATTGTAAAAACATTTTGCTTTTCAGAAAAAACATTTTTTTAGTTTTGTAGAAATTTTTTTAAAGGAACCTTTTGATATCTGATTATTAATCGATTAATAAAAAAAAAATATCGGCAGATTAATTGATTTGCAAAATAATCGTTAATTACAGCCCTAATCAGTTTACTAATGAGCTGTTAGCTATGGAGGGAATTTTGTTTCATTATTTTTGAAAGCAAAGAACACGTTTTATAAATGCAAAATTGAAAAAAAATTGAATAAATTTTTTACATAAATAAATAAATGGGCTTAAGAATAACTTCTTATTTTTTATTGAATCCTTTTTTAGCTTTATTATTTTCATTTCATTTTTTTAAGATTAAGTTTTATGAATCTTCAAACGGTGTTATAATCATCACATTCTGTCCTCTTCAAGCCAGACTTTACGACGGAGAATCAAGGCTAGGCTGGAGTTTTTCTTTTCAAAACGAGAATCAAGTCATAACATTACGAGAATAACGCTGTAAGATTATAAAGTAGTAAATTTACAAGAATGAAGTCATAAAACAGGGTTCCTACAGCATAAGGAAAGGACTTTTTAATGCCACTTGAAATACAAATTTAAGACCAAATTCACAAGAAACACAAGAAAAACCTGCTTGCGACGACTTAACCCAAACGTTTATTTTAACATAAACCACTGCACTAATGTTTCAAATGTTGAAGAGCTTCCCATACAGGAAGAAAGCTAAAAACACACAAATGACAGATATATTTGAACAATTATTTAACTGAATTCACAAACGTTGTTTTAGCAGGGAACAAAACAAATCAGTTTTAAAGCCCCAACATAACCAGTGCTGAGTCTTTTTAGCAGCTATTTTTCTTTGTATGGTTTTCTTAGTATGTTTGATTTGGTGATAAGTGGAGGCGTTGCAGAGACAAGGGTGGAACTAAACTGAGAAATACCGGCTGTTTCTCTGTAACTCCATTTTGACGCTTTGTGTTTCGTGCTTCGCATGTGCGACTCCACTGCCTTAATTCCCATCGTTCTGAGCTTGAATGACTTCTTGCATAAATCCACTGAGCCTCATGTATGTTCCCTGGTTTTAGCCATGGAGAAAACTCTTGGCTGGAGACAGTTTTGGTTAAATTTACGCTTGCTTACGGAAGAGGATTAGGGCCACTGGAAAAAAAAAGTTAACTGATTTTTTAATTTTATTTCAGTTTAACATGGGAAAAGTCAGAATTCTGACAATAAAAGTCAGAATTCTGAGTTTTTTTCCCATACTAAACTGAAATAAAATTTAAAAATCAGTTAACTTTTTTTTTTTTCACTGGCCCTAATCCTCTTCCGTACTTGCTCATATTTTCCAGACAAAAAGTTAATGGAGCATCTCCCAAATGTCCCGGCTGCAACAACGGAACCAATAATGACGAGCCGTTATTTTTTTACATAAAAAAAAGTCAATTTTAAGGTTTTATTTAGATTACAAAAATTAATTAATAAAAAATATTCCTATTTATGACGTTTTAAAAATTAAGACCTACGAAAGACTGATTTAAGACATTTTAATACCAATTAAGGCCTTAGTTTTATTTTGAAGAATTCAATGCCTTTTAAGACTTTTTAAGGACCTGCAGGAACCCTGTAAAAACACTAGAATGAAGTCATCAAACCACGACCCATCTGAGAAAGAAAGCTCCCACCATGCTTTCTGTCATACAGAAATAGTAATTTGAACAGTCATTTCAAAGTTCTGATACTGACAATAATTTGATTTAACCCATACTAAAGTATAACTTTACATTCTAGACCGAGATTCTTGGAAGAGATGTAATAAAATACAACGTTATTCTCGTAATATTATGACTTTATTCTCATAATGTTGTAACATTATAAATTATAATGCTACAATTAATTAATTAATTAACTAATCACCACGAACGTGTTAGTTTTAGGTATAAATAATGATCCACTGATTATTCCTTACTGACCAGACTTTTCCGTTAATTAAGGATCTTTTTTGTTATATTCTAATTTGAACATCATGGCAACAAACTGCATGCAGCTCCTTGTGTCTGCCGGTGATAAAAGCCAGAAATCCATTTACCTTCTTCATCTCTGCTCTCCACCACTTCAGGCTGAATATCTGATGCAAAAAAAGGAAAATAATTATTATTCAGCAGAGAAAACATGAGTATCTTTCACAGAAAAACCCTTAAAACAAAATGTCCTACCGTTATTACAGGTGTCCTCAGCTTTCTTGTAGCTGCTTCGAACTTTCTTATGTCTCGTATTCTTAAAAAATAAATGAAAAAAAATAAGAAAATTGTGGATCAGTTCAGTCTGATCAGGTTTTATTAGGGTCCCTTTGGATGGTTTGAATCTAATAAATCAAAGTCTTAAATTCACTGGAATCCAACAATAAAGAAACCGCCTAAAAATAAAGTAAAATAGAAAATAAGATTTGATGTGCGTTTTAAGTCAGAAATGTTTAAATAATTATTCTAATAATGTTTTTAGAAAGGGAAGTCCCTTTAGAGCTGGGGTTCCCTCAGTGGGGGTCGGGACCCCCTGAGGGGTCGCGAGACACCAAAGATGGTTTTCATAATATGTGATATATGGGGGGGGCCTAAAATATTTAAATGTAAATTTAAAGCAACTTCTCTGGTCTGAGTAACATTACAATTTCTGTCAAAATCTGTTCAAAAATGGTTAAAACATATACATTATGAAATGTTAAAGAGTTTGCTCCCAGTGATCTCTATAGTTCTGCTGCTATAGGCTTAGACTGCTGGAGGACATAGGGACCCCTTTTTCATCATTCTATCTCTATTCTCCCACTCTGCAGAATCTGTTAGTTCAATCTCTAACGTTCTGCTCTCTCTGCTTTTTCTCATAGTAGCTTCATCTGGTCTGTTCCTGTTTGGCTGTGACTCCATCCTGGAGAGAAATATCAGCTGTGCTGCTGCCATCAACACCTTTGTTTCTAGATGTTGGAGCTTGGCCTGTTTTCCAGTGTAGTCCTGTTTCTCTGACTGTGACTAACTGGATGTGCTCTCTTCATCCTCTGACATGGGAGCTGGCTCGGAGCTCGTCTGCCTGGCTGTGTGTTTCTTGGACGGGGCCGCCTGTAGAGCTGGTTGACAGTTGCCTTTTGTATCTATGCTTCTTTTTCTATGTCTGCTTCTGTCTCCTTGAACCCCAGTGGGCCTCAGCAGATGGCCGCTCACACTGAGCCTGGTTCTGCTGGAGGTTTCTTCCTGTTCAATGCCTTAGATAGAAAACTTTGAATCAATCTGACTGGATGATCTGGTGAACTGGAAGAGATGACATGATGTGAATTGGAGCTATAGAAATATACTGAATAGAACTGATCTCTTCTCAGGAAAAGAAGCGGAGACAGAAAAGCTTCAAGGTGGAAACACGGAGCTTTCCTTTACAATAAAATTAATTTGAGATGTTTTTTTCTTAAACATAAATCATTTTATTTCATTGACAAATTGTCTTACCTGCTCAAATCAAGGGACATTCAAGAAAAATTGACTGACATATTATTAAATTTTTCATTTTGGATAATTTTAATATTAACTAAAAATAATTTTTGTCTTGTTTCCCACTACTGAATAATAGAGTACTTTGAGTTATAGTAAAACTAACCACGAAGAGTGAAGCTGAAAAAAGATGTTTATAAGGCACAGCTACTCTGATAAAATAAGATGGGGACGCACTGTGATGACGTCAATTGATTCATTCATTGATCAAATTTTAAAATCTGAATTACTAACTTTGATCACCACCTTGTTCGCTATAAATGCCTTTTCTGGGTTTCTAAATATTTAATTCCCACGTTTAAAACACAACAAATGCCCTTTCATCGCGTTTTTTTAGTGACTGTTTCTCAAACAATTATTTATCAACGTAAAAAAACACTTCAACTGACAAAGCGGGAGTAATTATAACATTATTAACAGTAAAAATTTAACTTCAACTAGTTTTGAAATTCTAAATCATATTTAAAAAAATCCTTTACACAAGTTGGGGTTGTTTCGCTAAGCTAGGCTGCTAACTAACAAGCTAACATTAGCACATTATTTAGCATCGAAACAAACAAAATGACGCTAAGCTTCCACATTCTGCTAAAACCGCTTCCAGCTGTAGTTCACAGAGATAAAAATGTAATTCCTACCTGTTTCATTGTCATGTTATCCTCTAACAGCCGCTGACGTGCAGATAAACAAACGTGTTCTCAGCTGCAGATAGCCACATGCTACCTACTGCGCATGTGTGAAACCACCTTACTACGGAGGCCCGCAAGGACAGCGCGCTGTTCGGATACGTATGTGAAGGGTACTTCTGGATAGTTTAGGATTTCTTCCTTTAATTAGAAATTTCTACCTTATTGATTCATATGTTTAAATAAGTCGATCCCAGAGTGGATTAAAACTATCTGTTTTAAACCAACGACCATCGAAATATAGAACTAACTCTCTAGATCCATTCAGGCGGGTTCGCCTCCCGCAGTGTGTCGGTATTTTATGCAGATCTGTGTTTGTTTGTCTGAACAGGTTAAACTGGAACCAGAGGTCCAAGAAACCAAAGTCCAGGAACTGAGTTGGAGTCCCACTCATCCACCCACGGTCAGTGGGAGCTGACCATGGAGGACACGGGGTTCATCTGAGAGGTCCTGACCGGGACACGCGATCATTTCCTTTAAATCCACGCGACCTCTAGAAGAATGGGCAGCCGGAAAAATGGCTTCACGAAGGAAAGCTTTATTTTATCTGTGGACGTCGGAACGACGTCAATCAGGTGCCATGTGTACGATAAGGAGGCGAACATCCGAGGATCCTGCACCAGCGAGGTATTCCCATCCCCGCGTGACACCGCGTCCTGTCACCCATTAGAAGTTGTCACCCACGGGAGGAGCTGCGCGTGTTTCCTCATAGAAACTGTTAGGATTAATTAGTAGTCCTAGGTCTGAATCCTGTAACTTTAGGCTCAGGTCTGAGTCCTGTAACGTTAGGCTTAGGTCTGAATCCTGTAACTTTAGGCTCAGGTCTGAATCCTGTAACTTTAGGCTCAGGTCTGAATCCTGTAACTTTAGGCTCAGGTCTGAATCCTGTAACTTTAGGCTCAGATCTGAATCCTGTAACTTTAGGCTCAGATCTGAGTCCTGTAACTTTAGGCTTAGGTCTGAATCCTGTAACTTTAGGCTCAGGTCTGAATCCTGTAACTTTAGGCTTAGGTCTGAATCCTGTAACTTTAGGCTTAGGTCTGAATCCTGTAACTTTAGGCTTAGGTCTGAATCCTGTAACTTTAGGCTCAGGTCTGAGTCCTGTAACTTTAGGCTTAGGTCTGAATCCTGTAACTTTAGGCTCAGGTCTGAATCCTGTAACTTTAGGCTCAGATCTGAATCCTGTAACTTTAGGCTCAGATCTGAGTCCTGTAACTTTAGGCTTAGGTCTGAATCCTGTAACTTTAGGCTCAGGTCTGAATCCTGTAACTTTAGGCTCAGGTCTGAATCCTGTAACTTTAGGCTCAGGTCTGAATCCTGTAACTTTAGGCTCAGGTCTGAGTCCTGTAACTTTAGGCTTAGGTCTGAATCCTGTAACTTTAGGCTCAGGTCTGAATCCTGTAACTTTAGGCTCAGGTCTGAATCCTGTAACTTTAGGCTCAGGTCTGAATCCTGTAACTTTAGGCTCAGGTCTGAGTCCTGTGACTTTAGGCTCAGGTCTGAGTCCTGTGACTTTAGGCTCAGGTCTGAGTCCTGTGACTTTAGGCTCAGGTCTGAATCCTGTAACTTTAGGCTCAGATCTGAATCCTGTAACTTTAGGCTCAGGTCTGAATCCTGTAACTTTAGGCTCAGGTCTGAGTACTGTAACTTTAGGCTCAGGTCTGAGTCATGTAACTTTAGGCTTAGGTCTGAGTCCTGTAACTTTAGGCTCAGCTCTGAATCCTGTAACTTTAGGCTCAGATCTGAATCCTGTAACTTTAGGCTCAGGTCTGAGTACTGTAACTTTAGGCTCAGATCTGAATCCTGTAACTTTAGGCTCAGGTCTGAGTCCTGTGACTTTAGGCGTAGGTCCTCCATGTATATCTGTTTGCACAGGACGGATCGTGCTTCTGGGACGGATGGGGTCGTGACACGCTGTTCTTGTGAATTGGAACAGTACTAGGGCTGAGGCTGATGATGTTTCACGAGTGCACGAGAACGCACAAGTACATATACAGAGAAACAGCCTATAACTCAGTTAACATGTCAGCTGATTCTCCCACCTGAACTGTGGACTGTTACAGCTCCTCCAGAGTTGCACTGCAGAAATGAAATATAACTAAGTCAGTTTTTCTCTGAAAGTCTATTTCCACTTTTTTTTTTAGCGTATTTGCAAGAACTGCTACTAGAATGAGAAAAAACAAACCCAGCAACTTGTCTAAAGTGCATAATACCTAATGATCTTATTTGAAGAGTAAAAATAAAAATTCTGTTGGCAGATCAGATAATTTACTTGCTTTAATGAAAGGAAAACATTTGTTTTAAGACAGATTTAGAAGAAAATGCAGAATCCAAATGCATGCCATATTTTTCAGTTTCTATACTGAGCTCTTTCCATAATGTGACACATATTGAAACGTGGAAAGGTCAAAGGGGTGCGAGTTCTCCTGCAGACCTCTCCGTTAATCTGTCACTCACTGATTAATCTCTGCCATCCCACCTTTGCCCAGGTCGTCCCGCTGTATCCGGAGGCGGGACATGTGGAGATGGACCCGGAGGCGTTGTGGAAGGGCTTTATCGCCGTGGTCAAAGGAGCAGTGCAAGGTACAGCTGCTGCAGCCTCCTGTTATCTGCAAATACACTGTTAATATTCATTTAGCTGAAGCTACTTTGAAGAGGGGCTGCAGCTAAGGATCATTTAGCAAATCGATTCATCTGTTGATTATTTTTCCTAGGGCTCAAACAGTTAATTGGATTAATGGTGATTTATCGATTATTAAAATAAACAGCTAATTTAGTAATCGATTGATCGTTAACTAGAGTATACAGACTATAAAACGTGCCTTTAGCTGCTTTTTCATTTTAAATATGGTAACGATTTGCTTCCATAGCGACCCACCTAGAGCAGGAATTATACCAAGATTGTAAAACGTATAGAAACATTTGCATTTAAGATAACAAAACAAAAAAACAAAAAATTCTATCTGCTCTATAATCCAGAACTCCCCAAATGGAAAGTTTTATTTTCACCTGGTTTAATTTAGTAAAACTCTTTTTAAGGAACCTGTCTGATTGTTAATCAATTAATCAAAAAAAATAATCGACAGTATAGACGATTTTCTAAATAATTGTTAGTTGCAGCTCTATTTTTTTTCAATTAATAATAAGATAGCCAAAGGTTCCTTAAGGAAGATTTTTACTAAATTAAACCAGGTGAAACTCAAACTTTTTTTCTTATATTTCATTATGTTGATCGTGTAAAACACTTTGAATTGTCCTTGTACTGAATGGTGCTATATTAATTCACTTGCCTTGCCTCAATTGGAGGCCATGTGGATGGAAAATTTTCTCTTATTTCATATATTAATTTATGCTGTTTACTCAATTTAAAAGTTTTCACTCAGCCAAGTGCAAAGTGCCTTGAGATGACATGATGTGAATTGGCGCTATAGAAATAAACTATATAGAATTGAATAACGAGTCAGATTCTTTCTCAAGGTTTATTCATAACATTTTATTGTTTAACCAAAGTGTCTGTAATTTGTTTTGACTCTGACTACTTTCCATTATTATAAGTAAGGAGGAACGAACGCTGCCCAGATCAGAACAGGGCTGATTACCGAGCAATAAGGGCCGATTGATGAACCGTTCTCTCTTTGCAAAGATAGAAATAATGAGTGAAATCCATCTATCTCCGTTTTTTTCTTCTTTATCTGTTTAAGATGGTGGAAAATGAGATGTTAAAACTAGGGATGTACGATATAATCGGCCCCCTATCGGTATCGGCCTTAAAACTGAATATCGGACATCGGCCCCCCCACCGATATTTAACCCGATATTTGATCAGCTTCTGAGTTTCTAACGTCTAAAATAAAAAAATACTACTTCTTCTTCTTCCTCAAAAACTTCTTTTTTACAGACTTAAAAACTTCTAAAGACGAGGGAAAAAATATTGATCCATTAAAATATCCCAATATCTTCATATGCTGATATATTGCCATTTAAAAACACCATATCAATCTCTTTTACTAATGAAATATTGCTATATGTCATCGTTATGCTACGAAATCCCCCGAAAATTCACCAAATGTTGCCATATTTTTATATGTTGATATATTGACGCGGTATCGATCTATTTTACAAACAAAATCTCACAAGAATTTGCAAAATATCACGAGAGTTTGTAACAGAATGATGAAATTTCACGAGATTTTGAAAGTAAAATAGATCGATACCGCGTTTTTAAAAATCTATTTGATATCAGCATATGAAAATATATTTGAGTATATTATTTTTCAAAGTGTCAGAAATGGATAACAAAACTGCTATTTTCAATGACTACTTATTTTTGTCCAGCTTTAACATCGGTATCGATATCGGTTATCGTCTACATGAGTTTTAAAATATCGGCATATCGGATATCGGCCAAAATCCCAATATCCTGCATCCCTAGTTAAAACAGTTGCCTGGCCAAAAAAAATTTTTTCACAGGTTAGCAAAACTGCTTCTATTTGAATAAAAATCTCTCCAGAATATTTCTTTGGCTAAAATCGTGTGTTTTCTTTTAGGATTAATTTACAAACAGGAATGATTTGACTAGAGTAACCAGAGACTTGCTAATTATTCTCAAAAATAGGGCTGCAACTAACAATCATTCTGCAAATCCATTAATCTGTGGAATATTTTTTTTAATTAATCGATTAATAATCAAATAGCTACGGAAGAGGATAAGGGCCACTGAAAAAAAAAAAAAGGTAACTGATTTTTACATTTTATTTCAGTTTAACATGAGGAAAAAGTCAGAATTCTGAGATTAAAGTCAGAATTCTGACTTTTTCCCCATACTATACTGAAATAAAATAAGAAAAATCAGTTAACATTTTTTTTTTTCAGTGGCCCTAATCCTCTTCCGTAAATAGCCAAAGGTTTCTTAAAGAAGACTTTTTACAAAATGAAACCAGGTGAAACTTAAACTTTTCCACTGGAGAAGTTCTGGATAGAGCATTAAGACAGACGGAAAACATTTTTATCTTAAATACAAAAGTTTAATATATATTTTGTACAATCTTTGTATAATTCCTGCTCTAAGTGGGTTCCTCTGTCAGCTAAAGGCATGTTTTAGAGTCTCTATATCCCGGTTAATGATTAATCCATTACTAAATTAGTTGATGATTATTTTAATTAATCGATTAATCCGATTAATTGGTTTCAGCATGAATTTCCCTCACTGTCTAAATTCGTCTGGTGTTTCCGGTTTAATCAGTCTCTCTGCTGCGCTCCTGTTACAGACGCTGGGGTGAAGATGTGTCAGATGGAGGCCCTGGGCATCTCCACTCAGAGAGCCACCTTCACCACCTGGGACAGGTAGAGGGAAATCAAGGCTTCGGCTGCGTTTAGTTTCCTCTCCTCTTCCTGTTTCTGCTTTGGTTGATGTTGTTGGAACGTTGACAGGAGAACCGGGGTTCCTTTTCACAACTTCATCAGCTGGCAGGACCAACGGGCTGCAGAGCTGGTCAAGTCTTGGAACAGATCCTGCACCATGAAGGTGGGTCTCTTTGCCTTCTGTGCTTCTTTACTTTCTTGTAGGCATTCTCAGTGCAGTGGATGCATCATGTAGCTAAATGAGCCTGACTGGTCAGAAGCTGCCTGCTTGAGGTGGAGCTGATCCTGTTAGCTCCTCTTTAACCATTTATTTATTTATTTGGATTTTCTCCCCCCCATCTCAGATAATCCATGGCGTGATGAAGGTGGGCTACTTCCTGACGCGGGACAAACGATCCCTAGCAGCGAGCCTCATCGTCTTCTCAACTCAGCACGTCACCTTTCGCCTGGTCTGGGTGCTGGCCCACTACCGGCAGGTGAGAGGACGGCGCGTGGAAGCTCAGTCTGAGGAGCTGCAGCCACACAGACACGTTTCTGTTTTAGTCCATAGAAACTAGAGATCCAGGACAGGCAGAGAGGAAGTTGTTACAGTATCAGCCATTCAAAATGGCGCTTCCCAGTCAAACGCCAGCAGAATGGCAGCCCACTTCCCTGCAACTCCCAGCGAAATCCCCTCCAACTTCCAGCAGCTGGAGTGACCCCCCCTCTTGCATATTTTTTTTACTCTGACTGCACCCTTTCACTGATTTACAGGATCTGGCCAGGAGACGCTGCTTCTCTTTAGATCTTAATGTCCACAAATCAGCAAAGACAGAATATTCTAGTCGAAGACTGATGTTTAAAAAGGAATGGAAGGGGACCAGCCCAGTACCCATCAGGGAAAGTGGGGACATTTTGAATGGCTGCTACTGTAACCTGCAGGTCATTGTGTGCATAATATGTTGGAGTGGACTCACTTTGGAGGAAGGTTTCCAAGCTTCGGACATAATCTGCATACTTCAGCGGATCAGATTTATTGAATGATATATCCATGGAGTTTGGGCGGATCACCAATCCTGCAGCAAAACAAACATGAGGCGAGTAAACAGACTGAAAGAGAGCTTCCATCCAACCATCACTATTATCAGGGAAAGTTTTCCAAACGGATCAATGTAAAAAGCAGCTGTAAAGTAGAACATTAGTGTTGCATTATCCGAGTTGGAGGAGAATGAAAAATAAATGTCTGAAAGGTGCTGCCCTATAGACGATGGTGCCGTGTCTGCTTCTGTCTCCTTGAACCCCAGTGGGCCTCAGCAGATGGCCGCTCACACTGAGCCTGGTTCTGCTGGAGGTTTCTTCCTGTTCAAAGGGAGTTTTTCCTCTCCACTGTCGCTACAAGCATGCTTAGTGTGAGGGATTGCTGAAGAGTCAACGAGTCGATGCAATCAGCTGGTTTTCCTTAGATAGAAAACTTTGAATCAATCTGACTGGATGATCTGGTGAACTGGAAAGTGACCTGAGATGTGAATTGGAGATATAGAAATAAACTGAATAGAATTGAATTATTAATTTATTCCAAACAATCTGTTTTCTTTAGCTGTGCTTCTTCCATTACTTTTATCTGGTTGCTGTATTTTTTGTCCAATCAGATTTCAGCCTCTGTGTGTTGCTATGTCAGTCTAATCTGCCCAGGGCCTTCAGAATCAGCGGTGCTGCTGATGTTACCTTAACAATATTAGTGAGAAACGTCAGGGTGCTGCTCATTGGATAACGTCAGGTTTTACGGTACTTATTACGGTAAACAGCCTGACGGAGCAGCGTGCCTGCTGCTGGTTCCAGTCTGCTCCATTCAGACGCATCTGCTGGGATTTCTGATGCCAGTTTAGCAGAGCGCTTGGCAGAGTTTGATCCACTAACAAAGAAAGACTGGGACAAAAAAAACCAAACACATTTTTTAGTGCAAACCCACCGGGGCTTAACAAACCAGTCCGTACGTCAGCCACGCCCAATTCACACCTGAAGCCACACATGGAGTTAAATCTGTGGAAATATCTGCTACTGAATGAGGAACAAAAGAAATCATTTTTGATCCAGATCTTTCAGTAGAACCTACAGAAGACGATTAGGGCCACTGAAAAAAAAAAAAAAAAGTTAACTGATTTTATTTCAGTATAGTATGGGAAAAAAGTCAGAATTCTGACTTTTTTATCAGAATTCTGACTTTTTTCTCAGAATTCTGACTTTAATCTCAGAATTCTGACTTTTTTCTCAGAATTCTGAGATTAAAGTCAGAATTCTGAGAAAAAAGTCAGAATTCTGACTTTTTCCCCATGTTAAACGGAAATAAAATTAAAAAATCCGTTAACTTTTTTTTTTTTTCAGTGGCCCTAATCCTCTTCCGTAGGAACCTGAATGTTCCTGAAGTTCTGAGTCATTTAAAGGTTAAATAAAGGCTTCACTGCACATCCAGGAAACCTGGACTCCATGCAGGATTTTCCATTTCTTTCTATATGTTATGATCAGACACATTTAAAGGCGAAACATGAGGTTATATTGGGGAGGTTTGTGGCTTCATTCACCAAATTAACTCATTCATTTACACTGTGTGCAGAATTATTAGGCAAGTTGAATTTTTGAGGATTATTTTTTATTATTGGGCCTTAATTGAGTTCTCAATCGACCCAAAAGACTCCTTAATATCAAAGTTTAATATTTTTGGAAGTTGATGTGTTTGTTTTTTTAGATTCGGCCATTTCATGAGGATGTCTGTGTATTTAGATAAATGTTACTGTGCAGAATTTGGTGAACTGTAAAGTGACCTGAGATGAGATGATGTGAATTGGCTCTATAGAAATAAAATAAACTGAACTGAACGTGAAACGTTTTTCCAAAGATAAAACCCTCCTGAGGAACTCAGTCGTGTTTCTTTCCTCCTCTCCAGGTCCAGCAGGCGATCGCAGACGGAAACTGCTGCTTTGGGACCATAGACACCTGGCTCGTGTTCAAACTCACCAAAGGTGGGTGCTAGTCAGCCGTGCCGCCTCTGAACGCGGTGCGTTTTTATCAAACCGCTCGGTTATATGCGAGCCGAGGCCTTCCAGCAGGAGATTAAGGTCCAGACAGGCTGTTCTTTGTCCTTCTAATTTCTCTCGCATCACTGATTGCCTGAAACTTCTGAGGAATGTTTGAGCCCCTCAGCAGGAGGCCGAGTGGAAAACAAGCCATCAGACCTTGTTGTTTTAATTGGTTTCAGGACGTGTGCACGCCACAGACTACTCCAACGCCAGTTCCACTGGGATCTTTGACTCCTATCAGGTATGGATCTTTCCGTTCTTTCGGTGTTGCTGACGTCTGTGTTGTGCTGTTTTACATCTATGTGTCCATCCACAGATGTGCTGGAGTGGATTCCTCTCCTCTCTTGTCTCTCTGCCCCTCTCAATTTTCCCACGAGTAGAAAACACGGGGTAAGTCAGTCCTGCAGTGACAGTCGGGACCTCAGCCTCCAACCAGTGAAGGAGTTTAACCCTTCGGAGAACGGAGTCATGTTTCTTTACAGACATCATGTGGTCCTTAAAGGGAAAGCAAGGAATAATCAATGGATCATTATCAGTTCCTAAAGCGAATATATTAGCTGGGGTTTAATGAATTTAGCATTACTCAGTAAAAAAATAAAAATTATAATTTTCGTTGCGATCCGGGAGCAGCCATTTTTGCCCAAATATAGTAAAGGCCTGGTTATCCTCCCTCAGCAGTGGGAGGAATCAACTCTATTGCTGCATTGTAGGTTTTTGAAAGATGAAACCTGAGTCCCCCCCCTCTGTTTAAGGGGGGGTGGAGTCGGATTTCAGCTTTCAAAAACCTGCAATCCCCCTTTTAGAGACATAGACAGGTATGAGACCCGTTTCTATTTGCATGTTTTCTAAACTAAAACCAGGCTTTGTTGGGCTGCTGGATAAAACCTGGAACTAAACGCTATTTCTGACATTTTGAATTGAAAAATCTTCCTGGATGGAAGAGAAACGTCTTCAAACTTGGAAACAAAGTCCAGTGGATTGATTTTAACTTTTTGAATGGAAGCATAATATATATGTTATGATCTGTATGCAGGTTTCCTTTCAGGTTTCAATTCTAAATAGCATTTTTTCATCCTTCTGTTTATAAATGTTTTCTCTGCTTCTAACAATACTGGAACAACATTTACTCCATACAGATGCAGATAAAGAAGAACATTTTAGATCAGGTATTGGAGATAATACCCCCCAAACATAGGAGCAGATCTATTCAGTCGGTTTCTATAATGAATTCAGGCTAGATAAGAAAATGTCCGCCTTTATGTATGGAGGATAAAAAGTGCCCAAATTAAATAAATAAATACAGCATTAAATAAATAATTAAAAGTGTCAATAATTAATTAAATGTGGAATTAAATAAATAAAAGTTAGGGGGCGGTTATCTAACACCTGATTGGTCACCCTGCACATTAAGGCGAAGCAAATCGATTACAGAGACTCGATTGGCGTTAACCCCGCCCCCTAACTTTGATGGGTGAGTTTGACAGATTCTTTTAATGGTTTCGATGCACTGCGACACAGGACCATGAAATAATTAAATGCACACTGAAATAATTATATATATTTTTTTAATAAAATGAAGATGTATTTTATTAAATTAATGACACATTTATATATTTAATTCCTTATTTATTTAATGAATGACACATTTAATTAATTGTTTATTGCTGTATTTATTTATTTAATTGTGGCAATTTATATTAGTGACGTGGTTTTAATTAATGAATGACACATTTATTTATTTATTTAATTTTGGCACTTTTTATCCTCCATATTTATGGGTGACTGTGTTTGAAATTATTGAATAATTAAATTAAATTAAATAATTTTAATAAACCCTTATTGTTGCTCTTTTCTCCTCAGGATGAAATTTGTCCTGCTAACACAATACAATAAAAAACATAACATTTAAAACCCCCAAAGATTATTTTGCTTAAAATAAGGCCTGTTTCATTCCCCTCTGAAAGACGTGTCTCTCATCCCTCATAAATAACCTCCTAATGTAAAATCCAACCCTGTTGGATGAATTAAAGCATTTAGACTGTATGTATTTTACTTAAACTCAGCGGTTTGGGGTTAAGCTCTTCTAATAAATTGTGGCACATCAGTATTAAACATAATGACTGATGGAGAAGATGAGCTAATGCTTTCTCTCTTCTTTCCCTCATGATCCATCAGCCATAACTTCGGCTCCACGGATCCGTCCGTCCTCGGAGTGTCCGTTCCCATCATGTCTGTGGTGAGTCCAGTATAGATATAATAAACATATTGGTGAAGTTTCCTTGGTTCCTCCTCTTAGGCCGACAGAGTTTTAGATTTTAGGCCCCATTTAAGTTGTTAGGTCTGTAATGTTTCTCTAAATCCTCACCTTTGAGCGCTGTCCGCTTTTCTCTATATATATTTGTTTCTGTAGCCGAAATGATAAGCAAATGATTGGTGAACTTGAGAAAAAATAAGGATATACAGCAGAGTAAAAGATCCTTATTAAGATTTATTTTTAACGAGAAGCAAAAAGCCCTAAGATTATAGGAATAAAATCATAATACTGTAAGGATAATGTAATTATAATAAAGTAAATAAAGATGCATTTTAACATTATAACTTGAATAAAGCTGTCAGTGTTTGGTTGAGGTTTAAGGACCCAAACGCAGAGGCGATGAGGCAAAGGTGAGTTCTTCAGGATTTAATTGAACAACAATTGAAAATCAGACAACTACACTGGAAAAACTACGGAAGAGGATTGGGGCCACTGAAAATTTTTTTATTTCAGTTTAACATGGGAAAAAAGTCAGAATTCTGACTTTTTTCTCAGAATTCTGACTTTTTTTATTGTCAGAATTCAGTCAGAATCAGACAACTACACTGAAAAAACTACGGAAGAGGATTAGGGCCACTGAAAAAAAAAAAAGTTAACTGATTTTTAAATTTTATTTTTTGTTTAACATGGCAAAAAAGTCAGAAATCTGACTTTTTTTCTTAGAATTCAGACTTTAATCTCAGAATTCAGTCAGAATTCAGACTTTAATCTCAGAATTCTGACTGAATTCTGACCAAAAAAAAGTCTGAATTCTGACATTAAAGTCAGAATTCAGACTTTTTTCTCAGAATTCTGACTTTTTTTATTGTCAGAATTCAGTCAGAATTCTGAGATTAAAGTCAGAATTCTGACTGAATTCTGAGATTAAAGTCAGAATTCTGATGTTTTCCTCATACTAAACTGAAATAAAATTGAAAAATCAGTTAACTTTTTTTTTTTCCACTGGCCCTAATTCTCTTCCGTAAAAAACTCATGTGGGGAGCCAGGAAAAGTCGACAGCTTAAGTCCAGAATGTGATGATTTTATACTCGTAACGTTACGACTTTTTTTTCTGAATGTTACAAGTCTAAAATTACAACTTTACAACAGTGCTTCAAAATGTTATTTTATACTCGTAATGTTACGACTTCTTGATCCGAGTGAAACAGATTTCAAATCTTAGCATTACAGCTTTAGTCCAGGATGTGATGATTTTATACTCGTAACGTCACAACTTTTTTTTCTCAATGTTGCAACTTTGTTTTTGTAATGTAACAAAACTTTTACAGCTTTAGTTCAGAAAGTTACGACTTTTTTCTCGTAATGTTTGCTAGATTAGCTTTTTTTTTTCCATACGAAGAGGATTTGTTTAAAACACAAAGCATGTGTGGGGGATTGTATTTGAGTCAATGAGTCAATGCAATCAACTGGTTTTCCTTAGATAGAAAACTTTGTATCGATTTGACTGGATGATCTGGTTGAACTGTAAAGTGCCTTGAGATGACATGTGTTGTGAATTTGGCGCTATATAAATAAACTGAATTGAATTGAATTGAATCATATTGTCCTGGTTGTCAGCAATGTACTGAGCTCTCTGTGCTGTGGGGGTGTTGCTGCGTTTAGTGGAACTCTGACGTACAGCGTGACATGGCTGTCACGAACCGGACAGATGGACCCAGTATTCAAGGAGAGACAGTCGGTAGGAAAGTTCAAAACGTTTAATAAATAAAACAAAAACTAAAGTGGAGCTGTGGCTCGGGGACACTGCAGGATGGGGAGAAGGGCACCGCCCAATCACAGACACTCTGGCTTAACAGTCCAGTCCAAGAATGTCCCCCAAGTGCTGCAGTCCCAGAGGACATGCTGGAAGCGATCCTGGTCAGGGATCCAGAACAGACAGGAACAGAAACAGGTGGCAGGATCCAGGCTCCCAGGAGGGTTCAGTGTCTGACTGGGACCAGAAGCATGACCAGGTGGTCACTAACAGGAGCAGACAGGATCAGGTGCAGATGAGCAGGCTCAGTGGAAGAGGGTAGCCGAGACAGGACGTGGAACCAGAACTTGAAGCAGGACTTTAAACTGGTCTCCTCCCTGGAGCCAGGCTTACTGAGATAAAAACTGAACCTCCCCACATATAGAGCCAAAAACCCAGAGGACTCCGCGGGTGAGGAACAGTGGACGATCAGGAGACGAGACAAACACAGAAACCTCTTTCCACTGGCAGCTAGGATCCAGGACATGAACCATGAACTAAAACTGAAACGACAGACTGACAGAAAGACAAGTAATGATCTGGCCCTGAATGCTCAGGCTGAACTGAATATAACCAACAGGAAACAGGTGAGAGGAATAAATAATAATTGAGGCAGGGAGGGAAAACGACAGGTGAAAGGAATGACTAATTAAGGGAGAGCAAACAGGCCAGATCATGAAGATGGCAGCCGTTTGGGAATCCCTCGGATCCTCCCGATGGCCGCTGAGCCTCTGCTTTCAAAGGTTGAGCTCTTTGTTTGCTTTCAGGAGCGCATGCATTCCCCTGCATGCAAACTTGTGACTCGGCGTGAGTCTGTATCACTAAAAGACTCTGAAGTGCATGTTTCAGCTTTTAAAAGCAGTTGAGCCTCTATAGGGACCTGGTGTTATTTACTGTAAAGGCCTTTAAATTTAATAAAGACGTTTTCAAAGCGCTGACTCACGGTTCTCGCATCGACGTGGAAATGAGCAGTTAAATTGGTTTAAATGTAGAAAAGACGTTTGGTTCACAGATGCTCTGATTTTCAATTCTATTCAGTGTATTTCTATAGCTCCAATTCACATCATGTCATCTCAGGTCACTTTCCAGTTCACCAGATCATCCAGTCAGATTGATTCAAAGTTTTCTATCTAAGGAAAACCAGCTGATTGCATCGACTCATTGACTCTTCAGCAATCCCTCACACTAAGCATGCTTGTAGCGACAGTGGAGAGGAAAAACTCCCTTTGAACAGGAAGAAACCTCCAGCAGAACCAGGCTCAGTGTGAGCGGCCATCTGCTGAGGCCCACTGGGGTTCAAGGAGACAGAAGCAGACATAGAAAAAGAAGCATAGATACAAAAAGCACGTTGATGGGATGGTGAGGGTCTCCCACAGGTACAGAACCCTCTGTCCTTCTCTGGTAGATGGCTGACCAGCAGGCGGCCATGTTTGGAGAGTGCTGCTTTGATGTCGGCGACGTTAAGATCACCATGGGAACCGGCACCTTCATGGACATCAACACTGGGAGCAAACCGCACACGTCTGTGGCAGGTAGGAGCTGCCGCCGCGTCTTTGTTAAATCCAGACTGAAGAATCCGACTCATCCGGCTCCTCTGGCTCCTCCGGCTGCAGGTCTGTACCCGCTGGTGGGTTGGAAGATCGACTCGGACGTGGTGTACCTGGCGGAGGGGAACGCAGCAGACACGGGAACAGCCATCAAATGGGCCCAGGAGCTCGGTGAGACGCCCGAACAGAACTGAACCGGTTCTCTGAGGGTAAAACGGTTCCTCTCCTCACCTGAAACTGTGACTGCTGCAGAGCTCTTCTCAGACGTCAGCCAGACCAGCGACATGGCGTACAGCGTGGACCATTCGGACGGAGTCTGCTTCGTTCCGTCGTTCAGCGGCCTGCAGGTACATTTGCTCATTTATTCCCCTCTAATCAATAATGCATCATTTCCTCTCTCCTGTTGAAGCAGACGGACTGTGGAAATAGTTCCTATTTAATCTCATCTGCTTTCCTTTTCTTTTTTTTCACTGCCCTCCTCTGGGATCTAGCGGTTGTAAGTCTATTTTTCTGGATGTTGATGTTTTAGTTCTTTTATTTATCTGGTTTTTTAACCCTTATTACACCAAGTAGATCCGTTTTAATCCGATTCTAATCAAGGCAACACAGGAGGCAGCTGCAAATGATCAGATGAGTGAATTAGGAATGGCGATAAGCGGTTAAAGGCAGGTGTGAATGTTTGTGCCGTTAGTCGTCCCTGAAGGAGACGAGTGGAGTGAGTTTTAGGGATTGTTTGTAGAGGAGTCCTGTCCTCTGCAGAGATGAAGAGAACCGACGCAGGTTTGGGCTCAGAGGGCGACTGGTAAGGCTCAGAGCGTAGGCTGGTGTGTGAGCTGCAGAGGTATGGAGCTAAATATGTACCAATATAATGCAAAGCAAAAAACTGATGAAAACGATGGAACTTTATAAAACGTCCTCGTCAAGAGCAATATATTTTTGGAAACATCCAGCCAGAATTTTAAAATTTAGATTTTTTTTTCAGGTCCGATTTTCCTTTTTCCAGATCGCATTTTTGCTTTTTCTTTCAAATTGAATTATTTGTTTTCTCAAATATATATATTTGTATTTTTCCAGATATTTTTTTCTGATTTCTATTTTCCAAATGTCATTGAGGTCGTTCTGTCAGAGCAGCGTACCCGGTCAATACCCGTTTATCCCTTTAGTTATGTACAAAAAACTATTGAATTACTTAGTTTTCTGTGTTTTTTGATGCGTATGGCGATATGAACTGCGACACACACGCAGACGACCTGGTTTCTGAGTATAAATCAGCCTTTAGAGGTAAACTATGCAACCCGTGTTGATTTTCCAGCGAGGCTCCCCCCAGAGGGCGAAGGTAAAAGTGCCCTGTCGTAAATATGCTCAGCTGGTCTCCTGGTTTCTCCGTCAAGCCAGGCACGGTTGTTTTGAGCTTAGCAGACAGGCGAACGCAACGAATCACCATGTCTACTGCAGTAAGTGACTGTTTTGTTCCAATTTTCGAGTTTGAAAATTCTCGCTGGTTCTGCCATGATCACTGCACAAATATGGCCACTGCGCTAGCAACGAGCATGCCTTTCACTGGGGGCGTGTAGCAGTTCTCGCCGTAAAGCAAGACCGACTCTCGCGAGACTTCTGAGCCTGTGGGTGCGGGCCGAGGGCTCCTGCAATTGCAAGTACGATTTTTCCCCTGCAGACCACCAGGGCGGCCGAGAAAACCTTTGTTCGACCTGAAATGACTCATTTAATCATCCAAAACGTTATGGAACACATTAATTAACTAAAATGTTGCATAGTGTGCCTTTAATGCTGTCAAACAAATGCATCTCTGTAGAAGACCAAAGAGAAGGCTTTAGGTCATGTTACCCTGGCTGTTTAACTCTCAGAAAGCATCCGTTAGCTTTACAGCGGCTGTTGTGGAGAAAGATGGAGATGTTCGATGGCAGGTTCAGCTGCATTCTTGTGTTTCCCTTTTAAAGGCGCCTCTGAACGACCCCAGAGCGTGCGCCTCCCTCATGGGCCTCAAGCCGTCTACAACCAAAAGCCATCTGGTCCGAGCCATCCTGGAGTCGGTGGCCTTCAGGTGATTCGTTTTATTCCTTTTTTTTACGTTTGCTTGTTTCACCGTTTTTTTGTTTTTACCGCCTCTTTGTTGGTTTTTCTCCCCAGAAACAAGCAGCTGTATGAGACGATGCTGAGAGAAACCCACATTCCCATCTCAAAGATCCGGTGCGTCAGCTCCAGACTCCATATTGAGCTTAGATGGCAGCCGTGGAAGGGGGCGTGGCCTCAGCTAATGCGTTCCAGTTAGATGATGCGTGGCGTGAACGGGCGGATGATAACGCAGCTCTCTGTCCGTCTCCATCTCAGGGTGGATGGAGGCGTTTCCTCCAACGACTTCGTCCTGCAGCTGACGGCGGACCTGTTCGGCAGGAAGGTGGTGAGGCCCCAGCACCGGGAGATGTCTTCTCTGGGGGCGGCGTTTGTCGCAGGCCTCACCGTGGGTACGTAGACGCGCCAGGAAGCAGTGAAAACAAGGACTGGGTTATTTACACAGTAAAGGGGAGCAGAAGACCTCGCCTGTTCAGGCAGGCCAACAATTCCCTTTAACGACCCCCTTTCAGAGACATAGACTGGCTTCTTTGTTAGCCTGCAATGCCTGATACCTAACGACCCCCGTTCCAAAGGGGGGGACCCATCAAAACACAAACCAGGCTTTGTTGGGCTGCTGATAAAACCTGGAACTAAACGCTATTTCTGATATTTTGAATTGAAACGTCTTCAAACTCGGAAACAAAGTCCAGTGGATTGATTTTAACTTTTTTATAAGCACATGAAGAACTAATGAAATCATTTTCCGATTAAAGATAAATAGATTCATTAATTCCGCAGGGGAAAAGGAATTACTTTAAGGTTAGGATTAGGATTCACTCAGTGATAACATCCTACTGAGCCTACTGGCACAATCTGAAGCCGTTCTATGGGACGGATAACCGCTAATAACGACCATTTATTGGGATGACATCTGAAGCGCAGCTGCAAACAGCCACTTAGTATTTACTGTGTAAAAGAAGACAGAATCAACATGAGGAGGAACCCATGAGATGATGAACAGGTTCCATCTGTTTTAATATGTAGTAGTTTAAATATTTATTCCTGATATCTGAAAAAATACTTTTTCATTGTCAAAATGACCATTTCATTATTCCCATTGTTACTGAAGAAACGTTTTTCAGATATCATAAACACATACTCAGTCAATCTGATAAAAGCCAGAACAGCCTTTTAAAATGTGTAAAAATTCTATAAAAGTTGATTTTTTTTCTGAAATTCAGTTTCTGCAAAAATAAAGTAATTTATAAAATCTATTATTACATCTGCTGAGGCCCACTGGGGTTCAAGGAGACAGAAGCAGACGTAGAAAAAGAAGCATAGATACAAAAGGCAACCAGCTCCACAGGCGGCCCCGTCCAGGAAACACACAGCCAGGCAGACGAGCTCCGAGCCAGCTCCCATGTCAGAGGATGAAGAGAGCACATCCAGTTAGTCACAGTCAGAGAAACAGGACTACACTGGAAAACAGGCCAAGCTCCAACATCTAGAAACAAAGGTGTTGATGGCAGCAGCACAGCTGATAGTTCTCTCCAGGATGGAGTCACAGCCAAACAGACTCTGCTTTTGTAAGTTCTATTGGATTTTATTTAGGAGTTTCGGCATAAAGGGGTCTGACACAAACATGCCGCATATCAGTGTCTGCTGTCAGTAAAATGACAGATACCAGAGCTCTTCTTACAAATTATCTTCTACAAACTGAAATCATTCAAACAGGAAGTTAAAAAACGCTCAGACACTTTAAAGATGCTCTTTTCTTTCTCTAAATATATTGCAACTCATGACAGGTTTTCCTTTGAAAGTTTGTGATCAAACGTCCTATTTTTGTTATGCTGACTAGGGCTGAAAAAGCAGAAAAAAAGCTTTTTCTGTCTGTTTTTTCAGGCTTATTTACTACATTATATAATGAGATTATTAGAGATTAGTCGGTGTCTAATTTTAGAATTTTTGGTCGTCTCTGCAGGGTTCTGGGCGACCCGAGAAGAACTGAAGAAGCTGCAGAGCGCTGATAAGGTGTTCCTGCCTAAAGGCGTCTCTAAAGGCGGCGGCGCCGGACCGGATCAGGAATACATCCCTGTCCTCCAGAGCTGGGAGAGAGCCCTGAGGCGCTCCATGAACTGGTACAAGCCCTGACTGGATACAGGTGCAGGAGGTCCAGGTGCAGCGTGAACGGAGTCAAACGCAGAGCCGCCCGCTGAAGTGTGCGAGTCGTGTTCCGTGTGGGCGACGCCGTACTGAGAGTTTCTGGTGAGGAGGATCTGTTGGAGGCGTAAAATGGATCCAAAGTGTCCACAGATCCAGTTTTTTTGGTTTGGACCTATAGCGTGAATTTTGTTCCATTATTGTTGCATTATATAGCTAGGCACCTGTTTTACAAATGGAAATATGGAAAAAAATGCAATCCAGAAATTCAACTTTGAAACATCTTTGGAGAAAAAAATCTATTCAGTTTATTTCTATAACTCCAATTCACATCATATCATCTCAAGGCACTTTGCAGTTCACCAGATCATCCAAATTTTCTAAGGAAAACCAGTTGATTGCATCAATTCATTGACATGCTTGTAGTGACAGTGGAGAGGAAAAACTCCCTTTGAACAAGAAGAAACCTCCAGCAGAACCAGGCTCAGTGTGAGCGGCCATCTGCTGAGGCCCACTGGGGTTCAAGGAGGAATAAATAAATTTTGAGAGTAACTTAGAGTCCAGAGGAAAGCTCGCACTGGAGTAGAGAGGTGATCTGTAAGGCACAGTTTAAAAAAACTCTTAAAAAAAATGTAATTTTAATAAATGTAATTGATGCTAATAAGCTAATAATATATATTCATCATAACCAAAGTGCTGTTAAAGGAATAGTACACCCAAAACATGATTAGCCTTCATTTTCTACTCACCCCCATGCTGAACAACACTCTGGAGTACTTTTTGGATATCTCAAATGCATCTGGAGATCTGGGAGGCTTCTTGCTGTCTGCTGACATTCAAATAATGGAGGTCTATGGCGCCCGAGGCAGAAAGGTCCATAAAAGTCCACAAAAAACGTGTCAATATTCCTCCATACTGCTCGTCCAATGTATTCCAAGTGTCCTGAGTGGGTAGCATCCAGAATTTACTCTAAACGAAGTCATTTAGAATGTTTTTAGAGCATAAACAGTAGTGTATAGGATTTCCTAAAAGCGCGTTCACGAGTCTACGGAAACCGCGGCAGACCAAACCAGATGAAAGTGCGCATTCAGCGTCTGCTCTGCCGATAATGCAAGCGTAGAAGAAGAAATGTGCTGTTTACCTGTGCAAAGAAAGAAACAACGAAAGAAAAATGTCTGAGGACTTCAGTGTTGAGGAAGAGCATGAGTTCTTTGCCGAGCTGAATGCGCACTTTCATCTGGTTTGGTCTGCCGCGGTTTCCGTAGACTCGTGAACGCGCTTTCAGGAAATCCTATACACTACTGTTTATGCTCTAAAAACATTCTAAATGACTTCGTTTCGAGTAAATTCTGGATGCTACCCACTCAGGACACTTGGAATACATTGGACGAGCAGTATGGAGGAATATTGACACGTTTTTTGTGGACTTTTATGGACCTTTCTGCCTCGGGCGCCATAGACCTCCATTATTTGAATGTCAGCAGACGGCAAGAAGCCTCCCAGATCTCCAGATGCATTTGAGATATCAAAAAAGTACTCCAGAGTGTTGTTCAGCATGGGGGTGAGTAGAAAATGAAGGCTAATCATGTTTTGGGTGTACTATTCCTTTAGGCTCAGAACCAGGTGGCAGAGGATTCTCTGTTTAGCCAGGATTTTCCGTGGAGGAGCCGAATTTTAAAGGCAGTGACTTTATAATTATTAATTTTTACAATTTTTTTTTTGTGTGACCTGACACAATTTAAAAACAATACAATGTGTAAAATTCAATCTAAGAACGGACATTTGAAAAAAAAAAATCTGAAAAAAATAGAAATAATGTAGATTAGAAAAGAGGAAATCAAATTTTAATCTGAGAAAACAGCAAAGTTGCTTCTCCATTCTTGTTTGTTTAAAAGGTTTTTCAAAGTTTCTGGATTGAATTTTTCTTTTTTTTTTTCATCTATAAAATGTGTTTGTGATCTCTGCTTGCAGCAATAACGGACCAACATTCACTCCATAGCTTAAAGGTGTCCATCTGTATCTGAAGCAGCCTTTATTTAGTTTACCTGTGGCTCACCGTCCGTCAGCAGGACCGATTTTCTACCGGATGCTTTCTGCTCATTGCTGCCTTTTACTCCAGAGTGAGCTGCCTTAATTTTAATCCGACTTACGTCTGGATTTTCCTTTTTCGGTACATTTGTTTCACTTGGTGCTAAACACTGATTTATCAGCTTTTAATTAATGAGTGCTCCATAGCAACAACCAACTGCCAAATATGGATCCTGGGCAGAGGCGTCAAGTAATAAAGTACAAATACTTTATTAACTTTTTATTTCAACTCCTTACGTTTAAAAAATAGACTCGTTAGTTTCCTTTAAGCTCATTTTCATTATGGCCTGTTGGAAAATAAAAAGTTTGATCAGCAGGAATAATCAATGGATCATTATTTATACCTAAAACTAATACGTTTGCAGTGATTTAATGAATTTAGTGTTAATCAGGAACAAAATAAAAACAGTAAATTTCGTTGCGGTCACTGAGTCTGGGAGCGGCCATTTTTGCCCAAATCTAGTAGCCCCTCCCTCCTGCCATCTTCCAGCAGTGACGTCACGGTGCGGTAAGCCTAGCGCCATTCTCCCCGCTTTCCAAGCTAAATCAATGGGAACTACTAGACACATCTGCAATCAACAACAATTATTGAAGATTTCCAGAGGACTTCACCATTGAAATTCACCAGAGCTATAGTGAAACTGACAATGCCCACGTGCATGGCAGCTGGATGCTGGAATACATCGGGTAAAAGGGAAAAAAAGAGTTATTCCACCTTTCTGATTCCTGATCCTCCACGGACGGGTTGGTCGTTGGATCGCCAACTTGAAGAGGGAGGATTTGCCATCGAACTTCTGGCCAGAGAAAAAACCCGTAATATGTAGCCAACATTTGGAAGAAGAATGTTTTCAAGATGACTTGGATAATAGCGCGTTGTGACAAACACCAGATACAGCACTGGGACTTGATCAACAGCCGATACCGCACCGTGACAATGTCACTAACCAGTAGGTGGCAGTAGTGTTCTTTGACAAACATGGATGCCTCCAGTAAAGCACATTCACATGAAAATTACTCTGAATTAAAAACACTGATCATTTATTGAACAGGATGGAATCATTTCAGATTTAAAGAACTTTCAGGAGTTTGGATTCTGAATATGAGCGACTTTTCCTTTAAAGCAACTAGAAACCATTAAAATAATAATTTTCATCCAGACAATTAATTTCCTTGTGGTTGGACTCGGTGCTGCCCCAACTTAATAAATATTTTTCTAGATTATGCAAAGTTAAATGTGATGCTGTTACCATTAGTTATAAAACTAAGAAAATTAAGTCTAAGGAAATTATCATCCAGAAATGTAGAAAATGCAGTAAAGCTTCTGGCTTTAACAGTTTTTCCTGCATTACTTTTACTTTTATACTTTAAGTAGTTTTAAAAATGGTACTTTTACGCTTTTACTGTAGTAAAAAGTTGAAGTTGATCCTCTAACTTATATTAAAGTGTTTTTAAACAGCAGGATTTATATTGCAGTAATAAACATGAATACTTTGGACGCCTCTGATCCCGGGAAGCGAAGCCAAATTTTTCATCCGGTTTAGTTTGGACCAAAAAGAGAAACGGACCTGAACAACTTTCCAATGTTTTATTATTTTTTTATTTCATGCAGATGACTCTTTGAGATTTAATGTGAAATGTTTAAGAGGACATTTGAAGAAGGCATGGATTTGGTTAAAAGTAAAGATAAAAATTGATTCCTCTGAGAAAGTTTATTTTAAATTATTTGATAATTGTAGATAATGTTGATAGAATGGTTTTTAACACTAAATCACTGTGAAAATGTTTAATTTAAGTTTCATTTGATGGATGTTTTAGTAACGAGGGGATCCAAGCGCTGACCGAGCTGCTAAAAAGGAACATTCCAGTATAATTGTTGTATATTTCATTGAAAGGAAGCCATGTTGATGTCAGATGATCTATGTAAACATTTTTCTAACCTGATTGGGGCGTATACATTTACCTATTAAAACTCTTCCACTACCTTATACCTGTTGGTTTTATTGCTTTTTTCCTCTGTTCCATTTGGTATAAAGTATGGAGCTAAATTGGGGCCATAAATTTTGTTCAGTAGCATTTATTTCAACCTGAAAAAAAGACTATAAGCTGCTATGTTTTTCCACGCTTTGAACCATGCAGGTTATAAGAAGCTGCAGCTTTTCTGCGGATTTTTTCTAACCGCCAGAGGGGTGAAGTCAAAGCTGGAAATGAGAGAATAATGGGCTAATTTTCATTTAACACAAAAACATGCTAGCAGCGATACGATGGAAAACAAATGTCCTGAATTCACACATTTTGACATTTATTTGCTGCATTAAAGCTGCTGAACCAATGAAGAGACTGAGCTCAACTCCTGCAGAGCTGAAATAAAGAGCTGATGAAGCTCCATCTTTCAGTAGAAGCTCTAACTGCTGCGAGCTAACAAGCTAACGGAGGCTAGCATTGTTCTTCAGCGGCAGATATCAGCGGCTTATAGTGAGGTGTGCTCTATAGTCTGGAAAATACAACAATAAAACAAGTTTGAAACTTAGGAAAAAGTTGTTTGGAACTTAAAAGAAATGTTTAAAAACATTAAATGTTTTCGTATTTCGGTTTCAAAATGCTGCGCATCGGAAATGTCAGATGAATAAATGTCACACAAATTGGTCAATATTTGAATTTTGTGTTTTAAGGCATGATATTAAAAAAAAGTAACATTGACAATCGAATATCATTGATTCACAGATATTTTAAGGATCTAAATTGATGAAAAAAATGTTTTCTAAAAACAGTTTAACTTCATTCTTTTTTTCCACAGTTCCTGAATGCAGCAGCGGGGAATGTTTTTACTTTCACTCATTATTCCACAACCCGTGTCATCTAATGCAGGAGATGATCTCTGAGATATACGGAGGGCCAAAGAAGCAAATGTGAATGTCCTTTGAAATAAATAGCATTTATTTATATATCTATGCAATGCATGATTCAAATAAATATTTTCAGCTGTAAAAGGCACATTTAGATAGTTAAAAAATACATTTGAAATTATGATTTATGTAACGTTTTTTTTTAAATCTATACATTTTTTAGCTTCATATAGATAAGGGGTCAGCAACGGGGGGCTCTTTAGTGCCCCCCTTGCGGCTCCCTGGAGCTTTTTCAAAAATTTATAAAAATAGAAAAAGATGGATTTTTTTTGTTGTTTTGTTTTAATATGTTGTACAGGAGGTCAAACATTCATATCCTGCTGCAGGTTTCAGCGCAGCGCCAGGCAGGTGGCTGCTGTAAAACAGCGGCGG